CACATCACACATCTATTCATATCTCTCTCTGTTTCTGATGTAGAATGAGTATCCAGGATTGTTAAGGCATCTATTGAGCACTGATGTGCATTGGAGGGTGTAGGAGTTTGCAGTTGGGGCTGTGAACCCAGCCGCGACATCATGGTTGGCACATAAGATGCTGAGTGCCAATAGCCAGAGTATGGAGTGAATAAGTGGTCTTGGAGAGAGTGTGTTGAATAGGGATGTTGATTTATCACATGTAAGTAAGGTGATAACATGAGTGATAGATACTGCAGGCTGAAGTTGAAGGGATCATGAGTGAGGATAGTGCTTGCATGCAATGACATAGAAGACTGAACTGGCAAGGAGGCAGAGGTACACCTAGCAACATCATCTGAGCATCAGCTGGCCTTACATGAAGAAGCTTTGGCTACACAGGAGGATGAGGGTCCTATACTGCCTTTAGATAATGACAGTGAGCCCACTGATTCAGAGTCTGATGGTGAAGATGATCTATATAGAGATGATGAATTGCTTCCCAGGGAGTCTGTGAAGGATGTGGAACTACAGTGGCAGCCAAAAATACTGTCAGTGATAGGCACCGGCACTTTTCTCATGCATTAGAAAAATTTGAATAAAACTTTCACTATAGTGACTATGTAGAACTTTGCAGCATAGTATGTAGTATACATGGTCAAAAAATGAGAGTGAAAAAAAATGAACTCAAAGAGATTTTTGAATAAGAGTGCAAAAAAGTGTGGAAACCCTCTGATGTCATACCCCCACCTTGCCCACCTGGCATGTTTCTTCTCTCATTCCACCACCACCACATGCAGTAACTTCATTATTCCTGCTCTCTGGGCTTAGAGAGACTTCTCATCTACTATGACAAAATGTACTCCAATCAAAAATGCCCGTATCTGGCTACTTCATGGCCAAGGAAAGAGAGCAGACAAAATTGCAGCTGTGGTGGGACTTTCTGAGCATACCATCTATTGGCGCATTGCCAGAATGGCCCAAAACTCTGACCCATATTTCAAGATCCCCCGTCCTGGCTGACTATGAATTGTTGAACCCCATTCAAAGTGTCGAGCTGCTCATTTCATCACTAGTGGCAATGGGCATGATGCTGAAGATGTTCATCGTCAGCTTTTCTCTAATGCCAACTCCCGTACCATTAGGCGAGTCCTAGCCAGACTTGGTCTAAATGAATGTGTATGCCGAAGGAAGCCTTTGCTTACCAAATGGTATGTGAAGCAGTGCAAAGTCTGGGTTGGTTTGGTGGTCAAATGGTTATTCTGGATGTGAAAATGGGTGATCTTTTCAGATGAGTCCAAGTTCAATTTGATTGGCTCAGATGGTCACAGGTATTGTAGGAGGAGGCCAGGAGAGGAGTATCTTCCACATAATGTAACTGGTCAGGTCAAACATGGAGGGGGGAGTGTGATGGTGTGGGGATGTATTTCTTGGAATGGCACTGGAAGGCTTCATCGCATCACAGGGAATATGGATTCAGTTCAGTTCACCCAAATCCTCTCCGAATCATTTCTGGGCACTCTGAAGGACCATGGGATCAGGTGTAGAAGCTATATCTTCCAGCAGGACAATGATTCCAAGCACAAATTGAAACTTTCATGCAAGTGGTTCAGGGATAACAACATCAAAGTCCTACCTTGGCCAGCCTCCTTTCCTGATATGAACATCATTAAGAATGTATGGAATACCCTGGACTGCAGACTTCATCACCGTCACATTTTCCCCCAGAATTTGGATGAGTTGTGGGAGGCATTGAAGGAGGAATGGGAGAAGATAGACATTGAGGAGATTCGGGCTTTATACCGCTCTATTCCTCATAGACTGAAGGCACTCCAGAATGCTAAGAGACTGTATACCAAGTACTAAATAATAACATAAATCCTTTTGGTTGAAGCTTCATATGCGTGGAAAGAACATGACTTGAAGTCAGGGTATGCCTCACCAGAGATGTAAGTTCCCATGCCCTTTTTGCACTCTTATTCAAAAATCTCTTCGAGTTCATTTTTTTTCACTCTCATTTTTTGACCATGTATACTACATACTATGCTGCAAAGTCTACTAGTCACCATAGCGAAAGTTTTACTCAAATTTTTCTGGTGCATGAGAAAAGTGCCGGCACCTACCACTGACAGTATTTTTGGCCGCCACTGTATAATATTGACTAAATATACTTTTTTTGAGCCTATGTAGCAAGTCTGAGTGCATGATTTTACCCCATCCTCTATAGGACAACTTGCACAATTTCACTAAGTATGCATTCTCATGGTGGGTGCCAGAGCACCCCACCAAAGTGAGGTCCAATTTGCCCAGCCAGTTCCTCGCAGAACCAAGCACTAGCAGTGGAGTCTGAATGTGAGGAGCTGGATGGGAACAAGCCTAGTGTGTTGGATGTCAGAAAGCAAAAGTTCCATAAATGGATATGCAGCAGATGCCGATGTCACTCAACTCTGTTCATTGAATTTATCTGTGGCCCTCTGGCCAACCGTAGCTTGGGACCTGAAATTGAAATGTGAAATTTGAAAGTGCAGCTTCTCTCTACCTTTACATGCCTGATTGAGGCAGGAGTTCCATGGATCCCACAATGAGAGCTGCAAAAGGTAACTTTAGCCTGAGATGGACATTTTCTGCACTAGCAGGTGATGTTGTCCGCTATGCTTTCTGAGGGAAGTACTATCTGCATAAAGCTGTTATATATAAAGCACTGAGCTTGAAGGTATGCACAAAGTAATACGCTTGCCATCTTGACATTATATTTTACGCAATGCCTCTCAGGCTCTCATATCCTTGTTCCGACTTGTATGTGCATTGGCTTCAGCTGAGGCTCATCACACAACTCGTAATTCTTGTCCTCATCGTGCAACCCCTTCATGTGAGCACTGCAGGTACCACTGTCTTGCAATGGCATGAGACTTGCGTAAGTGGCCATCTTTATTCTATCCGCCTCTTTCTACCTCACTGCAGACATTTATTTATTTATTTAGCTTGCTGCAGATATTGGTGACACTTGCTACGCCATCCTCAAAGCAGTGAATGCCAGCCATCTCTCCATTGCTGGTGCTTGTGAGGCCCAGGACATCGCCAACTCCATGATCAATCTCACCAAATTGTTTGGAAATAATCAGGACATGATCCAATTCGCTCAACTCTTCACTCAACAATCTAGGTGCACAGTTCATCTCTCATCCTCATATCTCCCCTTGTCATCTACTTATTTTTCGCGCACTGTCTCTAGCTTGCAGCACCCTCCATTCCATACTGTGAACTGGCGCCCAAGAATGCTGAACTTGTTGGGCTGTTCAATGTCTGCATCATTGAGGAGCACTCAGATTCAGATATCTGTGATAGCGCAAATGATGTTGTGGAGGGCTGCAACAGTGATGAGGGAGACCATCTCAACAATGGTGGTGACAGTAATGGGGGCATCTCTGTTAACCTTTCTGTTACTGCTGTTTCATTGTCTCCTTCATCTCACAATCATAGCACCGATGTCACGCCCCCTTTCCATGTAACTCATACACACCATTCTGTCATGTCTGGTACGGCGATTCACCACTCGTATGATGTTGCACCTGCCATTGCAGCTGCATCAGCTCAGGTAGGCACCGCTGATCCTGATGTATCCATCAATGGACACATTACATTGGGTGGAGGAGGTAATGCCACATTGTACGCGATAAGGGTGACAAGTACTGTGCTGGTTCCTGCAATCACCCTTGTTGGACTCGTATTCAAGTACAAGAGGTTCCCCGGCCTCAAATCATTCACCACTTGTTTCGAGGCTGTTTCTCAACCTCAGTCACCTGTCTAACTCTAGAATGGACCAATACTTGTGTATGCTTTTGTTTTCTTTCTTGTTAATGATTCATTTCTCTCTCAGGCTGTGAACCCTCTCATAGCCATCAAAGACAACATACATTATATTTGGTGTCATCGTCGACTTCATGTATCTACAATATCAAACATTCATTACAGTCACCTGTCCATTATAGGTATAATGTATGTGATTAGGTGAATGGCCTGTCCTAGCCATGGAAACATTGCCATTGGTAAGCTGTTCTCCAGGCATCCTGTCGTCGGTCTACTTGACTCGGATGAGATATGCCCCGGAAGGTGGGACTAGGGCGTGGGTGAGGTTGTCAGAATGCGGTGTGCATTGTGTTGTTCTCCAGTGCTTGTCACAATGAGACAGCGGATTAGCTTAGAAGTACATCGAAGTACTTCATAAGTCAAGAATCATTTCAACGGAGAATGTAACATATAATCCCTCAGACATGGTCCTGTTTATTATACCTGAAGAGGACCATATGCTGCGAGCGACATTTCAACAAGCTTTCCTAGGCGGAAACCTCCACAGCTTGAGGAGCACGAAGGGAACGGAGTAATAGAATGTCCAGGTTGTCGAGATCGACCTCGTTGAACTCTATTAAATTTGTCCTAGAGGCAACATATATTCGAGAAGTTAACAAAGACAAGACCTGACTCAGGAAGTCACAGCACACGATCCAACGATGTGGAATCCCTCTCCAGATATGACCATTGCAGTATCCCTATGGCCAGTCCTGGGAGAACGGATATCTGTATACGAAAGCGATAGAGCTCGAGTATGGTGGTACGAATGTAATCCTTTTTCTGCTAGAGGTTGACTTAGTGGTGATATATCCTGGGGGTACAAGGGAGAACATTCATGATGGCGATATCGACCAAGGAATTGTGTTTTTGATAGGAAGAGTGTACGCAATATCTGAGATTACCAGGTGGACTCTTATGTGGCGGCGAGTCTGCACTGGACAAATACTGCAGGGTAGTACATAGAGCCAAACACTAACGTCGATGTATGTTACTCATTAATTCCGGAGATAGATTGAGCCTCTCCAGAGAGGAGACAGTTAATAAGAAAGACGGTGTCTGGCGGTCCAATCGCGATCCATATGTAAACAAGCGTTATCGGAGGTTCCCGAACTGAGGCCATGCTTCTCAAGCATCAGAGCTCGATCCTTAGGGCTAGCGTGATCCCAACCGTCTCCTACATTTCTTATGACAAACTCTACCGCAGCGACTCCAGAAATCGGCGCACACTGCGCTCTAGCCTCCTGCAACCTCAACGACTTTCTTCCTATCAAATGCCGCTGCGAACAACTCTACTGTCGGGACCACATCTCACCTGAATCTCACTCTTGTCCTGCAATCCAAACGGCTGGCACAGATCTAAATAATTTATCAGTGCCTTCATCTACAGAGAAGCTCGAAAGATGTGCTGCTTCTGGATGCAACAAACCTAGCCTGGAAGCTTTCGTCTCGGAGTCCTCGAGAGCTGACGCTTCTGGACGCAAGGCAGCAGTATGCCCGAGGTGTAAAGAGGCCTTTTGTGCAACGTAAGTGTCGTCTTTTCTATTTTACTTGTCGTAGTCATGATAGATGAGCTATTCAGTCATCGTGAAGCCTCCGCTCACGCCTGTAAAGCAGAAGATCCCGCGGCCAGTTCTACATCTAAGAATGCTGCGGCTCGAGCATTACTTGAGAAACATTTCCCCTCGATATCCTCCGGTTCCACGCTTCTCAACTCGAAAGCAAATTCTCGCATCACTTCTGCATCAAAGACACCTCTCAATCCGAAGAAAGCTGACCACATGCGAAAAGTACAGGTAATGAAAATGCGTCACAAAGCTCAACCTGGCGATCCACGAGACAAGGGAAAATACGTTGCGATGGATGACAAGATACATCTCCACGTCTCTGTCAACAATAGCGACAACGAGGGCTCGTTTTGGTTTCGCAAGGTGAAGTTTGATGTCCCTAGCAAGAAAACACGACACTTACAACTTGGCCAAAGACCATCTCCACGGGAAAGGCTTTGGACCTTCTCGTTTCGCACTTCACCGCTATCGATTATGAGGTATCTCCGATTGTGTTTGACTCCGGTGCGTTGTGCTGACGCATTCCAAGAAACCCTCTTTGGTCAGATATACGGACGGAGATCCCGGTATATTACGAAACGACAAGACTCTCGGCGAACAACTTACAGACGGTGATAACATTGGGCTCATTCCCTAGTCATGCGCTCAACGTATTACACCTTTTTGGCTGTATTGTTATTTCTTTTGATCTTCAATACTGCTCGCCTACCCCCAGAACTAGTGCTCTCGCCATTAATGCCTCGGTCGCTTGATGGCGTTTACACTCTTGTTCGGTATGTATCAAGCAACGCTGTGATGAAACACACATTCAACTTTTCCTTTCATTTTCTTCTTTCGATTCCTTGCTAGTTTTGTTCAGGACATACGCCAGTTAGCAATTGGATTGACGCTGCTAAACCGCGTTTTGTGGAGTGGACCGCAGTACACATATGACTGTGTTCTGATCGTTGTCCGAGATGCCATATTTCTGAAGCCCCTTTCTCCATAGAAGGATAACGTATGGCATCCATTTCTACAATGATGCAATTGTACCTTTTTCTAGAGTCAGTACAGGGTGCTGGCGTGTGCCATCCGTGCTTCAATATAACGTATAGGTATCGTTTCACCAAAAAACCTTGCGCGAACCACGACGTTCATGAAGACTTCATCAACAAACACAAGTGCCTAGAACTGACCTATTTCGGAGCCACTAATCCTTTTTGTGGTCGATTGCAGCACAGTGCCGTGAGTAGCAGGGTTTAAAATTAAACTAGAAAGGTACTCTCGGCCCACTGTACCGGGCATGGGGGACGATGAGACAAACTAATACGGCTCAGTCATTCATAAGGAAGAAATCGAACTCGCGACCCACCTCAAACGATTCTACCATGTAATAATCCGGACAACAATTCTTCGCGTGGATGATTCGTAGTCTTTGAGGTTCATTTAATGGACCTATGATCGAGGGGTTTGTATACGTACCGAGTCGCTGTAGCTTATGCCATACTGCCTGCGGTGCGGAATATCTGCAATTAGATCATCGCATCCTCTTTGCGTCTACAGTACAATTGATCTTTGTGCTAGTTAGTATGCGGCTATGTGCTCTTTTGCTTCTTCTCAAGCCAGTTCACGAGATCGGTTGTCGATCGCTAGAATTAACCGTCGTGAATAAGAGTTCTAAGTACTACGTGCAAGTTCCGAAAACGTACCTCAATCCAGAGCGCCTTTGAACGAATGCTATCCAAAGCTGCGAGAAGGGTACATGAGCAATGAGTGTGTCAAGAATGCAACGAGATACTCACTCTGCTTGAGCGTCATGTCGTACTTCGACGTGTCCTTGCCCTGTAAAAGGCTTCGTTAGCATGCATGACATCCTGAATGAAAATCATGACGGACCTCGAAGAATTTCTCTGTCTCCTTGTAGTCCTCAAACGTCGACAATGAATCGTGCGAGAACTATTTTAAATCTTTAGTCCATGTTCGACAGGGTAATATAATCACATAAATCTCACCTGCACGATATACTGCAGAGAAAAGTTTCCTTCTGTTCGCTTGACATACTGTGTTTTTACAGAGAAATCCATGAGCAATCTATAAGGTCTTCAACAGTCATGTTACTTACGGCGTCGTATGATTCCTTGAACTTCATGGACAAGTACTTCCTGTACTTGAAGTTTTGCCTCAAACCAGAGAAGAAGTAAATGAGATCCTGGTCACGAGACTTGGTGTCGATGAAGTTGAACGTCTGCTCGATGTACTTGTCTTCCTTGAACGAAGTCAGTGCCAGGATCGCGGCGATCGCGGCGCTAGGAGTTGGTGGCTTGTTAACGATAGAGGCGAACTTCTCCCATTCGGCTTGACCACCGTTTTGTGCGCCCTGTGATGATATATCAATGATAGAGTCAAGATAAGGATTGGGCGGGGGGTCTTACGATCTTGAAGGTGATGCGTTGCAAGTCTGGAGGAATCCTAGAGTCGTCGCCTGTCTTCAAGAAGTGATTGAAGCGGCTTCGAAGCTCTTCGACAACGCTGGAAACGATGCATGTGACGGTTGGATAACGAGAATGAAGATGAACACAAGGATGACATACCTCTTTTCCTCCGCATTGGCAGCCTGGACAATAGCCTTGGTACGCAACTCTTTCGTATCAATATCCTCGTCCTCCGAGTACTCGTATCCAAGACGTTTGATAATAGGGACGAACAGTTTCTGTAAAACAATGAAGCGAGATGGCTAACTCTGAGTAACGTGGTAACGTACATTGCGGAAGGAATTCAGGAGATCGACAATGTGCTGGTGCTCCCACCAGGTGTTGACGATCACCTCGATACTGTCAGCGATACTGGACCACACCAAGTCTGCAGAAGTAAATGATCAGATCACAACATCGATGATTGAGAAGCAACGTTAGCTTACATTCGGTCTCATTGCGGAAATTGTCGATCAAAGTCAATGCGCTGCTGACTTCGGTCAAACCAGCCTTTGCAAGGGCAGGCGCATCGTTGATCAAGCCGATTCGATCTTCGAAGCCGAACAACGATCCTTTAGATTTTGCAGCTTCCTTGGCGATAGCCGCAAGACGTTCGGGAGTGTACAAGACCCGGACTGCGACAAAATTGTATGAGTTATAAACCTACAATGCGACAGAAGGACCAGAAACGTACAGACGCCGACGGTACCCGCGTTCAGCTTGAAAGGCTTGCTCGTATCAAGCGGAATAGTCTTCTCACGTGAGTCCAGAACGATGGAGTTGTCGACGACAGGTTTGCCGTCTGCACCCACAGTGACCAAGCTCAAGGGGATAGTCCTATGCGCGTCCGAAATATCCATTAGTGAAATACAAATTCTTAGAACGGCAGTAGTGACTTACCAAATAGTTTCGTTATCCTTAGGCAGAGCAGGCCCAGACTCGAGGAACCGATCTTGCCTCACGTGAATTCCGTCCTTTGTCTCCGTAACAGTCACAACGGGGAATCCCATCTGCTTGACCCAGGCATCCATGACTTTGGGGATATCCACGCCTGTAGCGGTCTTGATACCTTCCCAAAGGTCTTCGGTAACGCTACTGCCGTAGAGGTGTTGCTTCAAGTAGATCGATACGCCCTTAAGGAACTTTTCTTCGCCAACGTAGTTGGACAGCATACGGAGGACTGAAGCGGCTTTCGCATAAGATAGCGAGTCGAAGATCTGTAGGGGTGAAATCAGTGACGTCCTGCCTTCAGAATTAGAGATCAATGCATATTTACCTGGTTAATCATGTTAGCATCAGGGCATTCCACCTCGATAGGATGCGACGAGAGCTTGGCGTCCAAAGAGAATGCGCGGTTCAAGTGGGAAGAGATGAAAGTCGCGTTCACTTTGAACTCGGGGAAGACTTTGTTCAGGATGATAACCTCTCCCATCTGAGTCAATGTCAGCACAATCAGACAAAATTGCGATCAGCAATACACGAAGGTTACATACCAAACTTGCGAAACCCTCGTTCAAGTACAAGTAATCCCACCAAGCCATCGTCGTGATGTTTCCGAACCACATGTGCGCAACTTCGTGACTCTGCGTAGACGCGATCTGCTTCTTCGCGCCGATGTCGACTTTCTGAGGGTCGAGGAGGAAAGCGGAAGTACGACCTGTGATGAGACCCCAGTTCTCCATAGCTCCAGCATCGAAATCGGTTGCCTAATGACACATTAAATTCGGGAAAGGAAAGAAATCAAGACAACAAAATGACTTACGACAAGAGTGTCGAGCTTGGGCAACGGATACTCGATATCGAAGACCTGTTCGTACAGAGGCAACACTTTCTCCTTGACATCCAGAGCAAACTGTGCCTGATGAATGACGTCCGGAGTAGCTATAAGGTGATTTGAGGACCGAGATGAGTGGAACATAATAGAAACAACGTACTGTAGATGCGAAGAGGTCGGACTTTGCCGCTGAGGGGACTCTTATACGAGCTCTCAAGGTATGTGAAAGGTCCATTCGCAAAGGCCACAATGTACGTTGACATCTACCCGAGCACATCAGTAAACAAGAACTTACTTTTAGTGTCTGATACTCACCGGTGGGGTAGTCTCAAACTTGGTGATCTTCCAATTCTCTGTTGAACCAGTCAACTTCTCCGCAAGCCAAGATAGAGGCTCAGTCGTTGCAGACGAGGAAGCACTTGGGTCGTAGGCCTCCTCAGATTCTGCAGGCATGTTGCTCAAATTGAAGGTATCTGCGCGCGAGATAAGCGTAACGGCAAAGGTCGCCTTGAGCAGAGGCTCATCCCAGCAGGGGAATGCGCGACGCGCAGCCGTAGGCTAGAATGCAATTAAACAAATTCAGAAACATGGACAGGGGGAATAAGTCATGAAGACGCACCTCGAACTGAGTCAAAGAGTAATACTTGGTCTTTCCATCCTGCTCAAAAGCAGACCTATAATAACCCATCATACCACCAGTAAGCTCAGCCTGAAATCCGACTTTCAACTGCGCAGTTGACCCTTCAGGTAAAGTGGCCGGTAGCTGAAGTGTAGCACGTTCAGCCTTGGTGTCGATTTGGAGCGCACTGGCAGGTTGGACATAGGGTTCATTGAGAGACGAAGAAGTAAGAGAGAGAGAACCAAGGGTGAGATCGGCAGTGTTGAAGGTAATGGAGTTAGTCGCTTTCTTCACTTCCAAGCTGTATATGGATTAAAGACTTGATGAATATTTTCGTAGAGAAGAAGTACGTACTGAGCCGTGATGAAACCATTAAACTTGAGCTTCTCGAGGTCAGTATGGATGGTGAGATCATAATGAGTCGGTTTGAGATCGGTCGGAAGACGATATTGATTCGGGTCCTTGGTAGTCTCTGCGGTTGCGCCTGTAGACATGCTTAGGAAACTGTGTGAGGAACAAGAACGAGATAGAGATAGCGTGAACGTATGAGGAAAGGAGGTAGGCCTGTGCGGGGAACGTCGAGAGGGGTTTATAAACGCGGGCAGACTAGCTCTATCGATGTGATGATCAGAGAGGAGACGACGAAGAGGTGTACGGGTGCATGTGAAGAATAGACTGCGTGAGAGGCTTGGAGTGGACTGTATCCATCCTCCTCGACATCCCCTCACACCTTGCAGCATCTCCTTCGCTGCTGTCGTTGTCGATGAAAGAACGCGTCCCCGACGCGCTTCACCACAACATCCATCGTCTTCGCCTATCACTCGCTTGCACATACATCGCTCTCTGAAATCTGCCTCATACTCGGCTTCCAGTAACTATCTACGATCGCTGTGTACCATTTTCTAGTTGAGCACACTGGATGTCCAGTCTTCAAAGCTTCAAAGCTCCAGTCATGGCTACGCAGATATGACGGCCCTAGATTGGACGTCTCTTCTCAGCTGACTCTCTAGTACACTTCACAAGGAATCGCGTTATTTTCGCTTCAGTAATGAAGTATGCATATGCCATCCCACGATGTGGTACGCCGCTGTGTTCTATTTCGCTTGTCGCAATCACAATTTCAGTCTTGTCCTGCCGCCACGCATCCCCAGTGCTCTTGCACAAAGGCTCTGTTCATATTCTAAGAGAGGTGCAGTTTGGATTCTAAATATATAGCTGGACGGATATCAACAGGACGTATCTTTGTGCATGAGCTCTGGATTTCTTTACGGTCATTCTTTAGATGGACCGATCACAGCATGATAATGGGCTGGCCAGGCGAGTCTTTCACTACAACCACTCTGTATGTCGTTACACGCACTCAGGCTAAATTTATAGCGGGAACCTCGCACGCCGTTCCTTCATCTGGTGCTTCGACTTCCACCCAACCGTGCCTTGACCGTGCCTTGCCTACTCCCCACAGATATTGCTCGGAGGATATCGAATTCATCGAATTCAAATGGAATCTTAATTGGGCGCTTGGGTCATATTGCATGTCTCGATTAGACAAGTAAGTAGGAAGGATGAAGGTCTAATCCTCTGCATGGACGTGAGCAGTGCGGATCCGACCGATTGTCTGAAGTACGTGTCCTAACTTTATTTCTCGGTACGCCAACTATGATGTCGTCGGCTTTGAGTCTCATCAGCCCCCTTCACGGCAGACTAATCATACGCTCCACAGCCCAGACTCATATTCGACCTCGATTCTGCCTTAGTTTAATGTGTTATAGTTCAATCAGGTGCAATCTAGGAGGAATGGAAGGTGCATTTTCTACGTCCATCAATGTTCTGCTGCTGTATAGGTATCAATTGTGATGATGTAGAAACTGACAACATGCTGATTCATAGGCCTTTCGCCTACCTTTTTGTCCTGCTGTCTGTTAAAGTTAAAAAGGATCATTGCTTTCTCCTCATTCAGTATGTATCATCAACTATCTTTGAATACAACTTAACGCAGGCGCTCAATTCTCTGCCTTAGATAGGCCCTTAGATCGGAACAAGCAGACAGACATCAACCTTCATGATAGAATGCCGAATTACGTCCGCACTGAGATATCTACGATGGTTCAAGAATGTCGCACCTTCTGGTCTTGTTCTCAGACGTTAGCTTAACTGTGGTCATTGCCTACGAATCAGATCGTCTAAGCACAAGGCTGCCAGCGACTTCTACCAACTCGGTATTTTCGCTAGGCCTCAAAAGGCCTCGTTTGACCTCGTATTTCTCTATTGATTTATACAATATACGATAAAGATGATCGATTCTCCGAGAGATCAGACACATCGCCGGGCGTGATGCCGTCCAAAGGGGATAGATCGGGTCAGAAGGCTTCGCCGATACGTGCCCCAGGTTCATCACTTGATGCATCATGCCTTAAGAGCCAAGGCCTTCATCTTAAATGGAAATATCAGGTTTTCCGGCGGCCTAGGGTCAGACGCTATGCACAATCTTCCTATGTGATCAGGTTTTTACAGATGCTGTTCCTTTCTGTCTAGGGATCCCAAAATTCTCCCATGGAGGGTCGTACTTATAGTGGCCTTCCATATGTGTTGATTCCCGTCCTTCCTCACTCTTCAGTCTCTCTCGCTCTGGTATCTGTATCTTTCTGTATAAGTACGACATGGCCGACCCATCCGCTTCTGCTCCGACACCTTCAATATCCGAGTTGATGGGCGGTATGGTCATGACCATATGCATCTCTTTAATGTAAGTCATCTTCTCATCGATATCTCGATATTCGTTCTCAACGCTAGCATTCAGCTTTTACGGCGTGACCACGGCTCAGGCCTATGTGTACTATCTTAACAGCAAGAGGGATTCACCCTGGATAAAAACTCTAGTTGCATCGGTCTGGTGAGTAGTCTTGATGAAATGACATGTTATTTGTCTTGATGCAACTGGCTACTAGGATTTTTGAAACCATTCATACAGCTGTTGTTCTACGATTTTTGTATTATATGGTCATCATAAGCTTCGGAAATCCTCAATCTCTAGCATTGATCGACTGGTGAGTCACTTCTGAATATTATCAGAGATTAATAAATCTTGACGGAATTTGCTATTCACCCTATACAGGAGCTTGGGTGTACGTTCCCTATTAACTCTTCTCTACCCGAATATCTGCTCATTTCAGCTGCGTTGTTCAGGTTATGTGTGTCTCTGAAGTGGGTCATGAATATGCTTTTCGAATCTCGTCCCTGCAATTCACACGAATTCTTAGGTCCTCATTCTTGCACTGGTAGAAGGGTACGCGGAAAATCCCTAGTGGAAAAAATCTCATCTAAAATCTATTTTTGACTTTTTAGATTCTATATCTATCGAATCTGGATTTGTACGATCGGTTTAATATCGACGCTCGACCTTATCGGCTCATTAAAATCTCTTAGTGAGCAAACGTTTGATCATCCTCACGGTTCCTCTCGTAAGTACACTTCCTGCTTTCTCGTAGAACATTTACCAAAGAATCCGACAGGTAGTCTTGCTCATTGCTCGACTAGGTAAGCACCGATATCTTGTTATGAAAGTATTGACAGGGTTATCGACCATTGTTTCATTTGAGGTTTTACTCTGAGTGGGTATTATTTAGCTGTCGCCTTATTTCTATTGGATCTTTGACATACACTTCTTCACCGTTTTCAAAGGCACCGCTGTCTACGGGTCAGTTCTCTTCTTTTTCTCTTTGATCGGTGTTAAGACTCCGTGCTTCAGACTTCTGGCAAGATCCTGGGATGCATTTCAACATACCTTCAGTTCATCTGTGAGAACGCGCTCCTTCGCTTCTCGCGATGTGATCCGTTGGGGTGTTAACTCATCTTACGCATACAGTTCTCTGTTCTCATGGCGTGCAGCTTTTCGGCGGTCGTGGATGGACTGATCGCAATCTGCATGATGATACTGCTCCGACATAAGCAAACGGGATTCAATAGGTGTGCTGATTTCATCCACTGAGGTCCTTATATTTACATGGAGAATCAATTCTCGTAGTAGGACGGACAATGTTCTTCGATGGATCATGGCTTATTCTGTCAATACCGGCGCCATCAGCATGCGAGTTATATTGTTATATTCGAAGATTGGCTATCAAACTCACCAATGTTCAATGCAGGGTTGTATCTATTGTTATTGCGATCACAGTGAGCAGATATCCATCATTCCTATATTCTTAGTTGCACTTACCGCCTTCTAACAGTACTCGACAATGCAAGACAGTCTCCTATTTGTTGGCTTGGTCATATTGACAGGAAAACGTACGTCTAAGGTTAATCTTCATTGCGTTGTCTCTATCTCACTTTCATTTTCATTCGTTGAAGTCTATGCAAATTCATTGCTGGGCATGTGAGCCAGCTTTTGAAGGACACCTTAGCTTGTTCATGCTAATTCAGGCTTTCTTTGAAGGCTTAATGCGAGAGCTCTGATGCGACAGAAAGCAAATAAAACTGATTCTGGTCTTGTCGAATTACCGACATTCAACAACCGAACTACTAGCATATGCTCTCACCCGACTGAGACGTTTCAGCAGAAGACACAGGAGGGTGCCGACGAGATCGTACGTATCAATATATCATCTTCACTACAGTATGGGTTTGATACTGAGGCTGCTTCCGAGCAGATAAAATCTAACACATCCGGCGATGAGGACCAAGACTCTGTGGACATCCTTTCGACTGGTAAAGCTGTTGAATCCCGAGGCGTCCATGTCAGGATCGAGGTTCAGCATGGCGATGTGTGAGGTTTCAAGGAGTTTCGTCTGTACGAATATAGATATGCTTGATTTATGGGTCAATCACATTCGCTTTTTCAGATAGGATTCGAATCAATGGATTCTCTTGAATTGCTGGTCGCAAAATACGAATGACAAGACAGGCATGGGAAAAAGAATTGTTTTTCCAATCGTATTATTGGGTGGGCCGGGCGTGCACGTCGCTAGACACGTTGTCTCTCTCGCCTTAGTCTTGGGTACGCAGACCAATATTGTGACGGATCTGCTGAGGAAGGGAGGGATGAGCGGTATACTCTCGCCTTGTGCTTTAGTTCATGCATTAACTACAAGGCGCAGCCTGATCTTGCCGCATCATTACGACTTTGAGCACCCTGGGTGTTGCTTGAAGAACCTAAATTGAGTGCGTCCTTCGTTCAAGTTGCTGCTCCTCATCTGACGAGTTAATGCGGGAGCCCGTTCGTGAAGTCCTTGAGACCGTATATACGCAAAACTTGAGCATCCACAGGCTGCTTTACACAGAGCCACTGAGACGTGAGTCGAATCTATTCTTACACTTCACTGATTTTATTTATCATTGAGAACGCATATGATGGGAATGGTCTCGATGACCTATTTACGTCTGTGAAGACTGAAGTCAGAATGATTGGTTTCCTGACAGCAGTGAAGCTCGATCACCATAGAAGCACTCTCGAATTGATCAACGCTGTCAAGGTCAACAACCCCAATACAGGTACATGCCGGTTCCTACCAACTTCTGTCTTGAACAGAGTTGACACTCCGTGCGAGTGCTCTAAGTATCACACAGTTTGGGGGATATGGCGAGTGCGAGTGCCATTCAGATAATTCCATATATAGCGGAACCTGATCTTCGCTCTGAATTCCATAGGCAAGGCGGCCGGAGAGTCTGATGCGAACGAATGATTGGGTATCGGAACAAGGTAGGATCGTCAAGTGACTTACTTTCGGATTTGACCCCTCTTATGGACACAGCTGGATAATTAATACTGGAGCTTCACTTTGCGTTGCGATCGAAGTACATTGTCGGCCCCCGAGGTAGGAAGTGATTGACACTCATGATCTACTGGAGCTTTTATGCACCAAAGTGATGCACTGCACTCACGTCGCTTGACATCATTTACACATAGTTCTTTCGAACAGGACTTCCGGAAGCATGTCCCTGATCTCATCAAGTCGGGCGATAAGCACCATAGATCGCATGAAAGCACTTCGCGGCAGTACTTCGCGGCAGTACTGCTGCACTGTGATTCGTCGCTAACCATTAGCCAATGCTCCGCCGAATACAAAAAGAAGCCGTGTTGAGCTTTCTCCTTCGGGGCGAACATAGAAGCTTTGTCCAACAGTCTTTATTGATGATCTTTACCCAGCCACCCTCACAACTTCCCTACCCATGGATGTTCCTTCGGCGGGCGGATAATCTCATACTTATATACCTATCTACGCGGCTTGATCATTAGGTTTAGTTCACAACTGGCCCATTTGCTCTAGCGGCTTTCCACGTGCCAGCTGTAACAACTATGGCCGACACAGTTACATCCGCGCCTCCGTTGTCGATTCCTCAGTTATTGGGCGGTATGCTTGTTGTCACATGTATGGCTTTTGTGTAAGTACTGTAATATCTTCATTATCTAGAAATTCGCTAATATCTGGTTCTTGATGATAGCCTGTACGGAGTCACCAGTGCCCAGGCTTATGTTTACATGCTTAATTCAAAGAACGATCCGCGATGGATGAAGGCCTTGGCGGCGTCGATCTGGTATGAGAAGTGAAACATCTCTTGCGCTGTATTACTAACCTTTGGCAAACTCAGGATTCTCGAGACTGCTCATAGTGCTTTCGTACTTCGACAACTATATTACATGGTCATCCTTAGCTTCGGTGACTACGACGCCATAGGAAGAATCGACTGGTAAGACTTCTTCCCTATCATCTATGTGCTCTATTGACCGTCTGTTCTTCTTTTTTTCTGACAAAAAAAAGGAGTCTAGCTGTAGGTCCCGTCATGAACTCATATATACTGTGTATTGACAGTATTCGGCTTATGAAAAGCTTATGACTTTAGCAGAGGTGTGTACGGGTGAACTACGTCAAGAAATAAGCATTCTCACACACCATTTAGATACTCATAATCCTGCTGGTCGAAGGGTATTATATTTGGCGTATCTGGATTTGTGAGTCAAATATCAATGCTTTGCTCAACATTACAATCAACTCGATACTAGTGAGCAACAAATCACGGATTCTCACCGGTCTCCTGGTAAGTGCCCAGGATCTTCTCATTTGGTACGACTATCATAAACGGTCTTAAAACTTCACAGATCGTGCTGCTCTGCTGCCGACTTGGTCAGTATTTTGTCCTTTGCACGGGAAGTGTCACATTGACACGATTACGACAGGATTTACCCTATGTGAGCTTGGCTCTTTTCGTCCTGCATATCCATGAATTAAAGATCTCCTTTGAATACGTTGAAAGGCACAGGAATCTACACGTTCGTACCTTTTCACCTAAAACTAGCCTGCCGACCCTAACGCCCCCCGGAATTCCAGATTGTTGACGGGGACTTGGGTCAAATTTCAAGGAAGCTTTGGACCGAATGTAAGCTGAGACTATTTTTAACCATGTGTCTACACGCCTTGACGTCGACGTCTCCTTTGAACTAGTTTGTTGTGCTTATGACAAACAGTTTCTCCGCGATCATTGACGGTGTCATCGCGATTTCCATGATCGTCTTACTCCGACGCAGCCAAATGGGTTTCAATTAGTATGTCTGTCTACCAATCATCTGTTCGATCCTGATGTTCAATTGTTTCTAGTAAGATGGACGGTGTCCTTCGATGGATCATGGCCTACACAGTCAATATAGGTGCTATCAGCATGTAAATCTTCGGTTGCATTTCCGAGCTTTGAATGTTGATGTTCTTCTTTTGCTTTTAGAATTGTTTCTATCGTCATCGCAATCACGGTAAGCGCATATTAAATAGTAACTTGCAAAATGGAATACTGATGGACTACGAAAAGTACCAAACGCTGAAGGAAAATCTCATCTTCGCAGGTTTGGTCGTGCTGACAGGGAAACATATGTGATTCAGCTGTTTTCTACCTTTAACCCGATTGCCGGCTAATGTTTATCTCCTGTTCCGCGCAAGTCTATGCAAACGCCCTTCTTGGCATGTGAGTTGTACATCAAGCTCCTGTGATCATATACGCTGATATGGTGTCAACTGTAAGGCTCAACGCGAGACATCTCCTACGACAACGAGTCACGGTTAGCATCGACCCCAACCACATCGAGTTACCCAAGTACAGCAACACACCATCCAGCCGACATGTGCAGCCTGCAGAATCCTTCCAGGTGAAGTCGCAAAAGAGTATACGTATGACAGAAGAAGTACGTTACCAATCTTATATGACAGCCGCATGCTGACGTTTTCTGCAGATACAGACGGTGTCGATGAAGGTCGGCGACCAACGTCGGGACTCGGTCGATTTTCAATCGTCCAGTCCTATATCTCTTAGACGACCCCAAAGCCCTAGACCTGGCGACCTTCAAAATGCCAAGATCGAGGTCCAGCGAAGGGTCGACGTAGAGCGAGATATGTGACCTGAGCATGAAGAGATCCGACTATTTGTTTCGACGGCTCCAACATGTCTGTATTTGTATTCATTCTGCGTCATTTGAAGCTCTTCGCGCCATTCCATGTTTCGTTGATGCTAGGTTTTTCAAGTCGCTCCTGGTCATCTCAGCATTCCGCCTTCCATTCGTCGCCTATGTCAATGGCTGATAGACTTGTATCTGTACCTTGTACCCCAAATTGTAGAGGATCCGAATAAACTCAGCCTCGTATGTATGTACATGCAGTGGGCAGGTTTATGGAGCCTCATAGATTCGCCTACGCACGCAAAGAGCGGTGAAAATTGCGCGAATGGAGATAACAGACATTATTAAGGCATTGAATTTGACATTCTGTTGTGGCAAGAGGGTGAGTCATTATTCACACTGCGGATTTCATAGTAAGCTGAAATGATCATGCAATGCGAACTGGCCGTCTGGAAGGATGTTAACAGCTAATATACTGTGCAGATATATATAGGTCGCCTGCGGAGCATATAGTCAAAAACCACAACCATCAGAAACCAACCATATACATGAGGCATGGCAACAGACAGCTTATGAGAGCATTCCTAAAAGCATAGGCCGCCGATCCTTGGTTCCATTATAGATCGACCTGGTAGCAAAGCTGCATTGCTTAGTGGTATACGAACCGGTGCTTGTTCAAACCTCAGGCGTTGCTGTAGGTCAGCTGAATAGCTCCAGCACAAGCGGCTGAAAACGAAGAGATCTATAAAGTCCAAGAGAGAGGTGGAAGGGACGGAGAGAGTTTAGAGCCGCGAGGATGCCGAGTGGTATGCTGTGAGGGTGGAGACGCCGAAGCTAGGATGGAGCGTGTGAAAAATCAGGAGAGGGTAGAGTGAAGGCGAAACGGCGACCACTGCCTCTTACTCATCATCCCCCTCCATCTACTATTAAGACTTACCTTCTGCTCTCTTTTATCCCTTGGCAGCTTGTATCGCACGTTTACATCTCTTCAGCCATGTCGGCTGCTCCTGCGCAGTAAGTGCTACCGTCTGCAGTATCAAGCAACTACTAACATACCATGCAGGAAAAAGATTAGGATTACTGGTAAGTAATCGTCACAATTACGATATAATACCATATCTACAACACGTGTCCAGTCGTTGCTGCCGACGGTCTCTCAAAGCGCGAGGTTTTCCGTCTGCCAGACCCCTTTGCAGTCATCACCGTCGATGCAGAGCAGACGCACACGACAAGCGTCATTAAAAAGACGTTGAATCCCTACTGGAATGAGTCCTTTGATATGTGAGTACTGTGCATCATCAGATACACAAGATCCAGTCTCACATGTCATGTAGTATGGTCAAGGACTCTTCCGTTATCGCAGTCCAAATCTTCGACCAGCGCAAGTTCAAGAAGCGGGACCAGGGTTTTCTCGGTGTGGTAAATGTTCGCGTCAGTGATGTGCTTGACCTTGACATGGGTGGTCATGGTGCGTGTCCATTTTCGGTTAACCAATGATTAGAGTCCCCTCATGTATATGCTGTAGAGATGTTGACGTTGGATCTCAAGAAATCCAATGACAACCTGGTTGTACACGGAAAACTCATCATCTATCTCTCAACCAATGTTAGTCAACCTATCAGCAACCCTCCTGCTGGCGCAGAAGGCGTTGATCATTCCACTCTTACGCTTCCGGGCCCCAGCAGCACAGGCGCTAGCACGACCCCACTTTCTCGCACTCCTTCTGTACAGCCAAACCCGGAGAACGCTACCGCACATGTTCCTATGCCAACTCCACAAGTGGTCCCTGCTGCAGTTACAGAGGCTGAACAGCAGCCACAGCAGCAGCAACCACCACCACACCAACCCCCGGCGGCTACGCGGCCCGTCTCTGCCACTCCTTCACAAACCACTGCTGCAGCTGCAGCTACCTCTCCCTCAACTAACGCTAGTGCCAACGCTCAGGCGGCCTCCAATAACAACGCCCAGATGCGCAACTTTGACCCTCATGCCGACCAATTTGGCCCACTTCCACCTGGTTGGGAACGTAGAATTGATCCCCTAGGTAGGACATACTACGTCGATCATAACACTCGTAGCACGACGTGGAACAGGCCGTCACCTAGTCAATCAGTCAATACTCACGCCCAAGATGGCGAGACGAATGCCGCCCGTGATCAACACAATCGTCGTATCCTGGCTGACGATATGTTGGAGGCTAACAACGGTATGAACCGATCCAACACCGCAGTAGCGACGCCAAACACGGCTACAGCTGCAGCTGCACTTGCTGCCAGCACTAATACTACCACGTCTGGTGTTGGTCCTCTTCCAGCTGGTTGGGAAGAGCGATATACACCCGAGGGACGACCATACTATGTCGATCATAACACACGTACCACGACATGGGTGGATCCTCGTCGTCAGACCATCATCCGTGTTATGGGTCCCAACGGTCAGAATGCTGCTCTTCAACCACAAACCATATCACAACTCGGTCCTCTTCCTTCCGGCTGGGAGATGCGACTCACCTCCACCGCGCGTGTGTACTTTGTGGACCACAACACAAAGACGACAACATGGGATGATCCACGGTTGCCATCGACGTTGGACGCCAACGTGCCTCAGTACAAGCGTGACTTCCGAAGGAAACTGATTTACTTTAGGAGTCAGCCAGCGATGCGTGCTCAACCTGGTAACTGCCAGATCAAAGTGCGCAGAAACCATATCTTTGAGGACAGTTATGCAGAGATCATGAGGCAAACGCCCAATGATTTGAAGAAGAGGTTGATGATCAAGTTCGATGGAGAAGATGGTTTGGATTACGGCGGTCTCTCCAGGTACGTTTATTCTATTTTATCTACGTGCATTGCTTGTTGAGTGACATGATATTGACGACTTGTTGTTCAACAGAGAATTCTTCTTCCTACTCTCACATGAGATGTTTAACCCCTTCTACTGTCTCTTCGAGTACTCCGCGCACGATAACTATACCCTCCAGATTAATCCTGCGTCTGGTGTCAACCCGGAGCACTTGAATTACTTCAAATTTATTGGAAGATGCTTGGGTCTTGGTATCTTCCATAGGCGATTCTTGGATGCCTACTTCATCACCGCATTCTACAAGATGATCCTCAAGAAGAAAGTGACGCTTGCGGATTTGGAGAGCGTTGACGCTGAGTTGCATCGTGGTTTGACTTGGATGTTGTACGTCGCATTAGCTTTACTGTTTGTATTCATCCAAGCCCATCTAATCTCGTCTACTCTAGGGAGAATGACATTACTGACGTCATTGACGAGACCTTCACGACTACCGAAGAACGCTTCGGTGAGATGGTCACCGTCGAGCTGAAAGCCGGCGGTGCCGATGTTCCAGTGACCGAGGAGAACAAGAAGGACTATGTGAACTGTGTCGTGGAATACCGTATCTCGAGACGTGTCAAGGATCAGTTTGAGGCCTTCATGTCGGGCTTTAGTGAGCTCATCCCTCAGGACCTTATCAACGTCTTCGATGAGAGGGAGCTGGAATTGTTAATTGGTGGTATGTCTGAGATCGATGTGTATGTGTTCCTTGTCTCTTCAAGATGGTGTTAGCATACTGAGGTTGGTTACAGCGACGACTGGAGCAAGTTCACAGACTACCGTGGCTATGAGGTTAATGACGAAGTTGTCCAATGGTTCTGGAAGTGCGTTCGCTCATGGCCTCCTGAGCGCAAGTCTCGTCTCTTGCAGTTCGCCACTGGTACCTCTCGTATTCCCGTCAATGGATTTAAAGATCTCCAAGGTTCAGACGGTCCTCGACGGTTCACAATCGAGAAATCTGGAGATCCGAGCCAGTTGCCGAAGAGTCATACATGCTTCAATAGGATTGACTTACCGCCGTATAAGGATTATGCGACATTGGAGCAGAAGTTGACACTCGCTGTAGAGTGCGTTTTCTTTGTGTTGTATCGATACCTCAGAATGCTGACTCTCTCGTTCATAGGGAGACGGTTGGGTTCGGTCAAGAGTAGAGGAACCGGCTTCCCCTTCGCGCAGTATATCTCTCTATTGCTCTCTCCCCCCTCCCCCTTCCTTCTGGCCCTGTCTGTCTCTTTATCCCAGCTTTCCTTCTCGTCACCTATTGTGTCTGAAGCTTTATCTACGCGCATATGGTACTCTCGTCCACTTTTACACTCTCATGCATTCAACTACATTCCATTTCGTCTCGTCCCCCCTTTGCGGCTCTAGCCTTTTAATTTTCATTCACGTGTTTCGTATACACTTTGCAACGTTGATTTCCGCCGTGTAGGATACCATGCGTCGGAAGTCACATCGACGTTTCTTGTTGAGATTGCTCTTCTTTTTCTGTTTTCGTCTCTTTCTTTCATTTGGATTGGATTGTGTGTGATCCTCATTTCGGCCATTGTGTATATACGAAGTTTTATATGTACAACAATGGACATTCACAGAGCCTGTGAGGCTCTTTGTACAGCAACGGTACATCGGGTGCATGTAGACATGATTCATGCATGAAAACTAAGGTATCGCAAGCATACCGACATAAAACGCATACGGAGACGTTACGGCGGCCATCTCGCTCCCTTCCCACTTGATCTTGAGCCAAACCTCAGGCCTCGTTGTCTAAGCGACTCACGCCGCAAGTATAGCGAGGGAGTGCCTGGCGTGATGTGCGACGAAAGGCAAATCCTGCTAGCGTAGTTCTGGATTCGACGAACTGTCCGACAAGACTTAAGGGACGCCCTGTTCATCGTGACCGCTTCTCGAAAGCAAACGCGATGTAGATGTCTAAAGAAAGGCACAGTGAGTTAGTTATTAAGCCCGCAGTGTAACAGCGAAGAATGGGGGGAAGACCACCCGGCAGTCACCGCTGCCAACAGGAAAGAAGGGATGACGGCAATGGCGCTTATTAGCATCTCAAATAGAAGGACAATGGGATGCGAGGAACAAGACGAGTAGAAAACACGCGGGTAGGAAGATGAGAAATGGGGAAAAGGCGGGAAGACGGAAATGGGGGCGATGATGAATGACTTAAAAGAGGAGGGATGAGGTGACTTACTGGCCGCTTCCCATTGATCCTCGTCCATCTGAGACTCCCCGTTGGCGTCGACGACTTTCATGCGTTGAAGAAGAGGTCCAAATTCGGCATGTTCCTGGTTCTCGCTAAATACCTCGTGGAATTCTTTCATGTAAGTCGGGTAGAGGTCGTACTCTGTTGCCATCCTGAAACATGACGTCAGAGAAGAAGCATATTTAGTGCGGGGAAATAAGGCGTACTGGACCAAGTGATCCCAATGAACGATATATTCCGGTACGTCGTCTACGGCATCTTTGAGATAAAACCAGTAACGATGACCGAACAGTGGGCGTTCTTTGCGATCGTCAAACCGGATTTTATAGACACTATTCCCAAAAGAAAGATCCTCCGCGTCTTCAGGTAATGCGTCAAGCTGTTCCCTAAACAACAAAGAACGCCACTATTTAACGCCACGAAGAATGGATCTTTACTAAAAGCGTTAAAAGACTCACAATAACTGTGCACTATTCGGGATCGTCCCTAGAAATACTCCACCGTCTCTCATCCATTTACTCACGTTCTCCAACATCGTCCGTGCTTTTTCTTCACTTTCAAATGCATAATGCATACAAAACTGCATAGACACTACGTCGAAAGGTTGCCCTGCTGGCGGGAAGACAGCTTGGAACATGGATGGTGGGAGCGTGTCGCTGAACGAATGGGCATAACAGTCTGCCGCGGCGAAGGAAGCAGAAAACTTCGGGGCGCGGAGGCTGCTGTACCTCTCTCGCGCTTGGTCTATCGAGACCTCGGCGATATCTTATAAACGCTTGAACTCAATACCACATAATACGGGAGAAAGGGGAAAACAAGACATACCAATGCCAACATACTCCCTGATCTTCGCCTTCACCCACTTGCTCAAATCCCCACCCTTACCACACCCCATATCCAGGACCTTCCCTGCTGCACGGTTACCCCCAACCCGACCTCTCATATCTGGAGGACCTGATATGGGGTATGTCCCGGCGTTAGGACTCCGAGCGAGCACTGGATGCGCATGTTGCGTGATCAGAACGGACTTGACCCAGTTATTGAAGCTCTTGAGACCAATGATAGGTGATTCGTTCCGTTTATCGACGCCTACTTCTGGACGGAGATTGTCTACAAAAAGAAGGAAGGATGAGACAAATCAAAAGAGAAGAGAATATAGATGTGGCGCACAATGTGAAACTACGAGACCGACATCTCGGGAACGTTTATGTGGAGGGAGACCTTCCTCATCTGCTTCCTCTAATCGTTTCCTCTTGGTGCTACTCCTCAGAATCTGGGTGCCAATACCTCCAGGATAGTTACGGTACCAGTCCATCTCCGATGATGTCAGAGGGACGAGCACTGATGTCGCGGGAGTAATGCGTTTACGTGGTGCATATGGGATTGTCGATCTAGGTGGGACAGGTGGAGGGGGCATCGCCACTGGTTTTGGAGGTAAAGGTAGGGGAACACGTTTGGTTATAGGAGGGGAAGACGTGCTGGGTGTAGTCGAGGTAGCCGTAGATGGACGAGATTGCTCAGCAGGAGGTTCGGGGAAGTAAGAGGTGTCGGATGAGGAGAAAGGTTTCCTTCGTAACGGTTGAGAGCTACCGAGCTTTTCGTCTGGTGAAGAGTCGGGGTGGAGAATATGTGAGAAGTTTGTAGGACCGCGAGGAGTGGTGGGGGTGAACAAAGGGGTGTCTTGAGGTGGATCCGAGTTTAAAAGCATGGACAGATCGGTGGCACGCCGAGTAAGCGGGCTAGCCGTGGACCGCGCAGAATCTGAAGAGGTCGGAGAGGGATTAGTTATAGGATTGGCGACTGGAAGCTCAAGACGGATTCTTGAAGGTAGGGGCGGATTGGGGGTGACAGGTGAGTTGAGTACGGCATCGCGAACAGGATCGAATGCAGGCATAATTGCAGGGCCGGAATGGAAGAGTAATCGGTGCTAGAAGCGAGATGTGGCACAGAGAGAGCGAGGTTGGATTAGAAGGAGATAATATCGAGTGCAGTAGCTTCAAGCAGCAGAAGGATGGGTGCTAGGAAAGATAACAGAATGAATAGCAAAGCAGAACAGCGCAGCAAGGACAGAGCGGCACACGAGTCAGGACAAGACGGAAGGCAGGACTGATTGAGTTTTGCTAGATATCACCGCTAGTAAAGCAACCATCAGAGTTAGTCGACTTTCAGAGTGTTATGAGCAAACATACTATAGACTTTGAAAGAAAAAAGAGACGATCATGTATGCAAGCAAAGAAGAACAGTCCTCGACGCATCCGCCACAAATGCACATTCCTCATTTGCCAGCGTCTACTCGGCAAAGTCTTTATTTCCAACGACAACTCTGTCTTTACATTTCTCGCTTCACAATCCATATTTTGGATAACTGAAAAATATTACACGACCGTCCATATGAAATTGTCTGTGTATATCGAGTAGATCCATTCAGACGAAATCACTGATTCAAAGACATGTCCATCTCCTCAGTCGACTTCAACCCTTCGTTGGACCTCAACTTTGACAGATAAAGAGTCATTACGTCTAGGAATCCCTCCATTCGAAGATGATAACTCCAGAAATTCTTGCTCTCTATCGCTAGACACGATCATCTGCATTCGTAGAGCAAGTCATAACATGTCCCTGAAGCCGCAGAAATAACACTTACATAGCTTGGAATCCTTCTTCCCGACTCCTTCTGTAAAATCTGGCTCGCTTGAACATGTTCACTGGCATACATGGTGCTGAACCTGTTTCCCCGACTTGGCTCTACGCTAGCCATCAAGCGTTTCTGCATGAGACGCCTGGCATTTAGCCTGTAACAAGGATAATAATCTTTGTATCATAAAAGCGGCACAGAGGACATACATGCCGTGCAAAGCATTCGCGTAGACTAGGTCGAAGGATTTGATCAGCATGAAGATTGGATAAAAGCAATGAGCGTACGTTTGCTTGTCAGGATCGCCAGCCCTCCGAAGATAAGATTGTTCTTTAGCGTTGAATACTGGACCATGTTCATGAGCCATCCCTACAAATCAGACGGAATTGAAAAACTCGGCGCACCGTGATCGCAATAGCCACAGACCCAACCCTATAGTCGTAAGAGATAACCTTGCATAGGGGCATATCCGGGAAGTCCCTCACATGCTGATGACACCAGTATTCACAGTGTAGGCCATGATCCACCGAAGGACACCATCTATCTGGTTATCCACACAAAACAAATCGGTAAGCATGGTGGCAGATTGGAGTGCAAAGTAGATACATACTCGTTGAAACCCAGCTGACTGCGTCGAAGTAAAACAATCATTGAGATTGCGATGATTCCGTCAATGACAGCAGAAAACCCATTCATCATCAGGACAGAGAACTATAGAGATGAATGTAGATGCCGTCAGCAATCAAACAATCTTCGCTTGTTTCCTTGGATGATGCGTAGGACTAACAGACGGAGCGAAGGTTGTCTGGAATCTGGGCCAGGTTCCCATTGTCAGTCTTCAAGCGGCACGGCATCAGAACGAGTCTCTGTCGTAGAAGGGCAAGAACGAACGTGTAGATGCCTGTGCCTATTGATCAGGTGCGTCAGAATGATGAAGGTTATTCCCTAGCCGTTAACAGGAGACACTCACTCAGAGTGAAGCCTAGAAACAAGAAGGTTAGTTTCACCGGATTATTGATTGAGATCAAAAACAGTACTTACCGACTCGGATAAGAAGCAAGACAGCCTGTGATGCTTTCAGTCGTATTTTCACAAGAAAATCCCGAGATGCATACCAGAAACGCCGTAAATATTCTGGACCTATTACTCACTGGTGCAGAAATCATTGTCAGTTGCGAAACTGAATAAAGGACAGGTATTTAGACTTACAGACCCAGATACGGTATATGTAGTACCTATGCATTCCGATCATTAGTTCGCGCCAGCGTGTACAGTTAAGAGACTGACCCTTCGACCAGCGCAACAATCAACATCTGACGAAAGGATGAAACCATGCGTAGAGATCAGATATAAAACTGCATCAGTAACCTACCTCTGTAAACGCCACGGGCTTCCCATATGTAAGACAGGTTAATAGGAAACCTGTGGTGCAAGCCAATGACGACTTACAGCCATGCTCCTACAGGAAAACAACAACCGACTTCAGCTCTTCAAGTCAAAGACACCACAAAAAAAGAAGGAAACCGATTCGAATCGTACCAATCAATTCTGGCTAGAGAGTCAACATCACCGAAGCTTACAATGACCAAGTAGTACAGTTGTCGAAGCGCGAATGCAGTGTGTGCAGTCTCAAAAAACCTGGCTTACAACTGATTAAGTTAAACTGTAATTGTCTTGGAAAGCGGCGGTGCTCACCAAACCAAACCTGCGAGCCATTTCATCCACCCTGGGTCTTTCTTGCAAGTAAGCAAGTAGACTATGCTTGGGCAGTGGTCACCCCGTACAAACTGAGAAGTCATCGTCAGAACAAGCCGTTGGAGGTGAAATTAGAATACCTACATCAGAGCAAAACAAATCGTCACCACCTCTCCGCCCAACAGCTGCGATATCGAAACAGGAGGGGCGGTCGTAGATGATTCGGCCATAACTTTGACCTATGGTTCTGCAAGTAGTGAAAATGTGTAGGCAGATTATCGCAACATATCGTATAAGTATCAGCCTCTCCGCCCGCCGAGGGACAAACCATGGGTATAGAATATGATGGTGGCAGTGGTTATGGAGACATGATCAACAGAAGACATCCGTGTTAAGCTCACGTCTGCCCCATAAGCTACCTATCAGAAGCAAGGAGATTCTCCTTCGGAAGCATAGGGGAGGGAACTGGCACCCCCAACGAGATAGGAACGTTCATGATGTGTTAACCATATACCTCGTGATTGGTCACCGAGGACTTACCTCACTTGGTCGCATTAGAAGGCGCCCCATGGGAGACTCGTCTGACAGGTCCTGTGACGGAAACGATCTGAGTCGTTTAAACACAGTACAGCTCTCAGCCCTACGTGGTGCCTTTCTGATCAGACATAACTGCTGTTTCACAAGTAATGCATGCCAGTGCTCGTGGCTGACCAGGATCGTCTGCATGGAAAAGGTGGCAATCATAGCGATGGTTGAAACTCATCACTAGTGAAAGTTGCGATGAAAGCTGATTCGGTGGTGTGATTCCCACATCTTCAACAACCAATGCCGTTGTTTCGTTTTCTGCAGGTCCACAGCGCTTGCAATGGGAATCCCTTTGCTCTTATATGGCTCGATGGAAACAACAAATTTCGATCGTTCCGCGAAGAGCCCAAGTAGAACGAACTTGCTTCCGCCGACGGTCAGTGAGACGTATGGGTCTGAATTCGGGACTTCATTCCTGGTTATGGGAAAAAGTCATTGCAATCCATCAGACCTAACCTCACTCGACTCTTGCTTCCAATTTGAACCAATCGCCAATGAACTCTGGGCCCACTGATTACAAAACATCTGCGTAAAGTGGAGACCAGGCTGGTCAGTAACAGAGTATTTAAAGTTCCACAAGAATCCTCGAAACGTACATAAAACATCTGCGTAAAGTGGAGACCAGGCTGGTCAGTAACAGAGTATTTAAAGTTCCACAAGAATCCTCGTATCAAATGACTGAGATTCCTCAATTATAGGAATTGTTGTAAATTGAGGGAGTTCGAGTTGTCCAATGTCCATGCTGTCAACCCTCATTTTCTTTCGCATGATACGTCTTGCATTGAGCCTGATTTAGACGGTACAGTCAGGATTGAGCAACGGGTGGGAAGGACGTGGTAACTTGCGTGCCAAGTAGAGCATTTGCATACACTATTATATCGCGGTGAATAGGTAATTGGTATTGATACATAGAACCAAGCAGTGACATACATTTGCCCGTTAAGATAACCAACCCTCCGAATATGAGATCGTTACTCATTGTTGAATACTAGTCCAATCATCAGTTAAACTGTGATGGACTCGCAAAGAGGAAAATTGTTCACTGTGATTGCGATGATGATCGATATGATCCTGCGATGTGTCGTGAACCAAGGAAATTCACGACAGAACTGAATTCTCACATGCTGATGGCACCCGTATTGACAGAATACATCATAAGCCATCGAAGGGCGCCATTGATTTTGCTAGGCGAAGATCGTAAGCTCGACCCAACGGACACCCAGTTGACGGAGAATGGAACCAAACGTACTCATCGTGTCTCGACTGCCCGCGGCGGAAGAACACAATCATCGAAACAGCGATAATGCCATCAACAACTGCGGAGAAGCTATTCGTCATCAAGACCGATAACTGAAATTTTGAGATATGATTCAATAGTGCGTAGAAGGCCTGTAAATTGGCCTGTAGTACTGACAGATGGAGTGAATGATGCTTGAAGGTCGGCCCAATGTCCCTTTTGAAGTCTAAGATAGTCAAAATGTGTTAGAATGTGTTAGAGGATACCACGTATGTAATTGCAAAGATCTTGCACGGACATGAAGATGCCTGTACCTAAGATTGTTGATAAATTCACCAGGCGGGATTGAGTTCATCATTGATACTCACTTAAAGTGAAGCCTGAAGGTGATGAACTTAACATTACATTTGTTAAGTGAGAAGATAGTGCTTACCCAGTCGCGTCACAAGCAAAATGGTCTACATGGCTCGAACATGATAATCAAGGAAAATTCTATCGGAAAACGTTGCATACCAGACTGATCGCCAGCGTCGAAGACCTGTTACTTACTACTTATATGAGCCCGCTTTCCGCGAGATGAATCAATAACAAACTCACATATCCAAATGCGCCAGATGTAGAACCTAAGCATGCGATTTATCTTGTTCAATATCAATGCAAGTTGAATCGTGCACAACAAACCCTTCCACAAATAGGATTACAAATATCTGAAATGGTTCTCAGAGATGATGTAGATGCCTACACTCAGGTGAGACATACCTCTGCAAAAGTCATGGCCTGATAGATTTTGATTCGCGTGAACAAATGCAATTTAATGCATAAAAGTACGTACTTACAGCTAAGCTCCTGATAATCGAGCATTGTAAGTTAGATCGAATGTGAAGACATGAAAAGACTTGCCAATCGACTACGGCAATAGAATCGTAGTCGCCGAAGCTGATGACAACTAAGAAATATAGTTGCCGAAGTACGAATGCACTATGTAGTGTCTCGAATATCCCGCCACCGCAAGTGAATCAAAATGGTGATTAGGTGAAACGGCGTAACCCACCATACCGACCCTACTAGCAGTTTTATCCAACGCAAATCCTGCTTGCAATTGAACAAGTATAAATAGACCTGAGTTGTGGTTACCCCATACAAACTAAGTATCCATTAGTGGGATAAGTCGGACCATACACACATTCTCGATGACACGCACATGAAAGCAAAACACATCGCAATAACCTCGCCACCTAGCAGCCGCGATATAGAGATAGGTGGTGAAGGAGGTGTATCGGCCATGACAGTTTCTTGAACGTATGGCTTGCAATGGACAATATGGATGCCAGTAGATGCGCACGTCCACTATGCGAACGGTTGTACTTGCTCAGGTAGACCAGAAGAACGTACTTAATATAAACTATGCGGCCGCCGATTGGTACTCCATGGGTAGACGATTGAGGACAATAATGCAAATAATGATTCCTGATGCGTCAACGATGTTAGCATCTCATCAGAATGCTTCTGTAGCTAAGATGTTCAAGAGCTGGATCAAACGAGGAACCTTCGCAATCAGATCATGGGAGATGGCACAGTACAGCAAAAGCGATTGCGCCTTCACTATGTCAAGTCCACAACGACACCCAAGCCCGCTACGACTAGCGGAGTGCCTGGTGTGAGTATAAGAGCAGATTGACTCTTCCTGCGCCAATTCTGCGCAGCGGGTAAGAACCAGACGGCTTGCTCGGCCCGGTCATAGATACTTGTCTCTTTCCTTCACGATCATCCTCACTGATTCCTCAGAGCCCTCGGGCTCCTTTGCCAGCCATGAATATCATCGTACGTTCTCCTGCACAACTTCCAAACACAGTCTCATTTGCAATAGGAAACTCTCTTTGGTCGCACCGTCACACCCGCAGAACGACTACGGCAGCACCAACGCGCTCTCGCGAAGGCTCAACGAGAGCTTGATCGTGAACGGACCAAACTCGAACAACAGGAAAAGAAACTCGTAGCCGACATTAAGCGGAGTGCTAAGGCTGGTCAACTAGTAAGTTCTCATCTAACTCTTCTTTGTTCCCTCCCCTCTTCCGGTTTCCCAATGCTTCGCGCATTGCTTCAAGTTACCATCTTTGTAGACGTTCTGACTGACAAACTGTTTTGTCCTTTCTTTCTAAACGATATGCTAGAATGCATGCAAGGTTATGGCAAAAGACCTTGTCCGGACACGAAGATACGTTCAGAAGTTTTACCAGATGAGGACACAGCTCCAAGCCGTCGGACTGCGGATACAAACACTGCGAAGTAATCAACAAATGGCCGATGCCATGCGTGGTGCAACACGCGTACGTCCGCTTCACACTCACTTATGAATCACGTATCAGTTTACTGATGTAATACGGTTTGGGTAGGCCATGGGCGCGATGAACAGAGGCCTTAACCTTCCCCAAATCCAACGTATCATGCACGAATTCGAAAGGGAGAGTGCAACGATGGATATGAAGGAAGAGATGATGTCTGATGCTGTAGACGATGTCATGGAGGAGGAAGAAAATGAGGAAGAGGAGGGCGATAAGATCTTGAAGCAGGTGTTGGATGAGATCGGTGTAGACCTCTCGCAGCAGGTGCGCTTTATCCTTTCTTTTTTGCTTTCACAAATACACGCTCATATTATTGTCATAACAGCTCACCGAAGCACCGACTGGTCTGGCCATTTCTTCGCCACTTACAGATTCACGACAACCTGTTGCATTGGGAGATGGCGGCGGTCCGACCCATGCAGCTGGTGGTGCAGGTGCAGACATGTCCGACGAAGATGCTCTTCAAGCGAGGCTAGATGCACTTAGACGAGGATGAGGATCGGCGATGACAGTGATGCGTGTTTTGTGTTTTGTGTTTTGTGTTATACCCTTGTATATGTCCGTGACGACTCCAAATGATAAGTTATGTACAACAGAAATAGATCCGGTCAAGATCTTGAAGATCCTAGACTCGAAGTGCGGCGACGATACGAGCTTCTTGCTCGCTCAATTTCCATGCAATACCAGAACCATTAAAGAACTCTTCGACATCTTCCTCCTGCATACAACGACCATGTACGTCAGTGCCTAAGAACGACAGGACGAAAGGTGAGCATACCGTGTCAAGATTCAGTAACGTGGATATCTGTTGCAGTCTAACGAACTTGTCGCGTACGTCTCCGAAAGCGGTTTGAGACGAGAGATACGACGTAATGGCACGCAAATCCCGGTCAAAGCGGATGGCTCCAAGCTATAAAGCGAACTCATCAACTTTGTATATATGAATCAAAATTGAATCCTCCATACTTCACTATACTTCAAACTGAGAACATATTTCTCCCAAGGTCTAACCAACACGTCCAATGCGAGACCAAAAAACAGACGGAAGTTACTTTCTGTGAACGTATCCTTGAAAAGAAAATGGTCGTCAGCCATGACCGCCTGCTTGAAGAGGAATTGAAATGAATAGATACCTTGTAGCCTTCCACTAGATTCTCCCAAGCCTTCATGAACCGTTTCCTCACTGCGTCGTTATACTCCGCAGTCGCATATGCATCATCGTCAAGCACGTAGGAAACATCCTTATACACATCGGGTATGAAAGTCCGCAGTTTTGGCCGAAGAAGTTGATTAAATAGTTGTTCAATGCCTGCCTGTATCGGGTTACGAAACAAAATCAGCATCTCCTTGACGAATACCAGCTGGAATGATAAACGAACCCTGAGAGTTGACCTGAATCTGGGAAGAAGGTTGTTGAAACCTGATATGCTCTTCTTGACAGACAATTCTTCTAGATCGAGAAAATTTTGGCTGATCATGGATGATGAGGACAAGTCTCTGATCAGTCGCTCCATGTGAGATGAAGACACTTCAAGGTCATTGAGCAGAATCTACAAAACGACGTCAGGGTCAGAGTATGCCATCTAGGCGCATAGATATACTTACAATGAACGACTGTCTCATCTCCCTCTCCGCCCTTTCCCTTGAAGTCGTTGGCGGGACCCCACCAGTACGATAAACATCATCCAGTTTCTTCTTGATGACACCAGCATAATCTCGATCCATGACTTCTTGCAGTTGACTCGATGTTGTCTCTACAATGTCAACGTTCCCCGTGGACAGAAGACGAGAGAGGACGACTTTGAGGATATAGAACGCATCATCGGGCGTGGTAGTTATTATGGGGAACTGCGTTAGGTCGGGGGTGGATAGACGATGAGCCTGTATGATGATAATGTGAGCTATACGACTTCAATATCATGGTATATAAAGAATACCTTGTCAATGATTGTCCTTGTGTACCACACCTCGAGAGGAACGTAGTACGTCGTGAGTAAATCCTCGAAGAGCCTCCGTGAAGACGAAGACTCTACAGCCTGCAAGACTTCCGGCAGACTGTCTGGTGATGCCTCGTTTGGCAGGGACTCCTTGGATCTTGATGGCGGAGGAGCAAATTCTGCATCAGCAGTGTTGTCCTGATCATTCCCGACATCGTCCTCATTTTCAGGTTCTTCCTGGTAGGAAGCATCACGTATAAGAAGTTACACCGAGGGGAGACAGAAGCCGTTTTTACCTGAAGTCGATTGTAGAGGAACTTGCGGAACAAGCTCCACCGACCCGCCATCCCGGCTACTTCAGTCAGAACTTTGTCGATCTCCCTAGGATCAACAACATCTTCATCAGAAGCGCCCATTTGTGATGCTGTCCTGCGAATCTGGGAGGGGCCTGACAAAACATGAAATGAAGCATTCGCAATGTCCGAGAGCTTCATGCAATAATATCATCAACTGTGATTCATGGAAAAGAAGAGAATAGGAGCATGCCTTGCGTTTCATTGACCGTTCCTCCTCCCATCCTTCAATAAGGTCTTTTACGACGCGATCCGACTCTTGTAAGAGACGTTCCAAAACACTGGCCATCTTCCCTGGTCCATAGTATTTCTCGACAACAGGTTGGTGTTGATCAACAATCATGGCTATACTTTCGAACAGCGCAGTAAGTGCGGTGATGAAATACAAAGGCGACGATGCTGTATAACGGTTCAGTGATAACCTACATAGAGTGCACAATATGACCACATACTCTTCGCTGAAGCTGGAGCCCGCACCCGCACGAGGTCAACCACGAAAGAGGCATATGCCTGTAGTCCTTCTGCTTCCCACCCAATAGCAGGGAACAGCTTGAAGAACCGGGATGTAGCAGCAGCATCTCTCGATTTCGAAGCCTTGTCAAACTCTCTTCGGAATATTTCCAGTAGTTGTTCTCGAGCAGCTTGAAGAGTCTGAGCTGGGGGAAGATGACTTTCTGCTGTGGGCTGATTTTAGTCCATGAGAGTCTGTTAGGGTAGAAGTAGGGAGTATACTGACGACGGCGGTGTCTGCGAAAGGTCCTGAGGTCACTTCAAGGGGAAGTGCCATTGCACGTGCGCAGTGCCGAGTGGCAGATTCCCAGTCGTGGGCTTCCATCGCGGCATGTAAAGCAGCTAAAGATGACTAGAGAAAGCAAAACGTAAGAATATAACATTTAAGTCCAGACGGTCTATCGTACCTTCAGTTCCATGACTTGGCCAACTCTTTCAGACGCCTCTCTCACTCTTCGCATTTCCTCATCAAGAGATCTCACACGTCCACCGACACGATCAGCAGTCTTTGCCGTCGCAGAAACAACTTGTGAGAGTAATGAAGCTTCAAGGTACAGCTCATCGAGCTGAGGTTCAAGCGCATGGACACGAGTAAGAGCATTGACAATAGGTTCCTTTTCGGAGAGAAGTTCTGAGAGAGATGATGATAGTTCGGCTTCTTCGGATTCTACAGATGAGAGTGCAGATAGAATCTCTGGGAGCGTTGTCAAAGTACGAGGATCAGGTCTCTGTGTTGACAGCTTGTCCAAACCATTTTCTGCAGGCTCTTTGGGCAGAGCTACTGCCATCTTAGGGCCAGGATAAAAACAACAGAGAGAATTACGAGACTAAGCAGAAGTTACAAAAAGCAAGGGTGCTTGACGTGCCAGATTCGGAGCGTGCTTGTTCACGAAGGTGATCGAAACGCCTACTGAACGATCTCGTGTTGTGCGCGACCCGTTTCGGCAAGCATGATGGTTCATACCAAGGCCATCGTTCGACCTGTTCAAGACATGTCCACAGATACAGTATATTGCACGTCGGGTCTACACTTCAGGTTGTTGTACAATTACATGTGTTCAAAGCACATATCATAAATTTTACAGACCGCTCCACTCGAACGCCTCCTTCAACTCAAACGACCCCTTCAATAAAATCTTATCACTGCTCTGTCCAACGGAAACGCCATACTCCCCAACTTTGGCTCTCCACATATGTTTGACCTCGTCCCAATATGACACCGCGTACTTGTGGAGAGTTATAGTAACCGTTTGCGAAAGACCCGGCTGGAGGCCTTTGACTTTGGCAAACCCACGTAATTGTAGTCTGGGCGTTATAAGGCCAATGTCTGGGAGACTAACGTAAACTTGAACGACTTCAGAGCCTTCGACAAGGCCTGTATTATTGACGGCTAGCGATACGCTGACAGTAAGGTTGGCGTCATAAGATGAGGGTTCCGAAACCGAGAGGTCGGAGAAAGAGAAGGTGGTATACGACAACCCATGGCTACACATATCAACCGACTCAAGAGTAAGTAATAAAACTGATCGAAGCACTATTGGAGACTTACCCAAATGCGAACAATGGCTTGATATCCCTTGCCTGATACCACTTATACCCAACGAACAAGTCTTCCCTATAATGAATCTTCCCATTCTCACTTCGAGTACTCAAATACGCCGGCGCGTCTTCTTCGCGTACAGGAAGCGTCAACGGGAGCTTGCCACTAGGATTCACCTTTCCGAAGAGCACATCAGCTAGTGCATTTCCGGCTTCGTTGCCCGAGTACCACGCTTGAATAATAGCAGAGACGTCGTTAACCCAAGGCATAGAGACGGCAGAACCCTATCGCATCCCACTGAGATAAGCCTTTCTTACTGGCACTTGAAGAGAGATCTACGGCTTACTGCTTGCAAACAAACCACGGCGTTGGGATTCGCCTTCCCAACTCTGGAAATCAACTCATTCTGTCGTCCGGGCATATCCAACGTCAGCCGATCGAAGCCTTCACTTTCCCACTCTGGAGTCAAGCCAGCCACGATGATCACTGAGTCAGATGAAGCAGCGAGATCTACAGCATCTTCGAGCGCTTTGTCAGGATCGATCTTCTCGCATCCTCCAAGACGCTAGAAAGAAGAAAAATATGCAACTGAATAATGAGGGCATGAGGGTGTGGGTAACCGCGTACCACTCCACGCATCAATGCCGGTTGAGAAAGATCCGACTCAGGGCCCGCGGGAGGTTTCGTGTTAGTGTATTCCACGTATATATGAGCAGGCTTATCGGACTCTAGCGTCACGGTTGCCTTCTCCTCCACTGTTCCTTGTCTGTGCATCGTGCCTAGCGGTTAATCCAAAACTTACCATAGCCTGCAGATAGCAAACACCTACCCGTAGAAAAACTCTCCGGGTCTCTGTTTCGTCCAATTATCAATCGTCATCTTCCCATTAACCCACAACTTCGCCCGTCCAGCAACGGTCAAACCCAACTCATACTCAGCACTCTTCTCTACTCGCAACTCCCCATTGAGTTTGATTGTCCACGTTTCAGTCAATCCCGGAGGGAGGAAATCGTTCAGTTTGATTCGGGTGTCATGAAGAACGAATGAGGCGATAGAGGAACCGGTAGGTTGACCGCTAGAGTCATGGTTGTAGAATTCGCAGAGCCAGCCAGGTTCTCCTGTGGGTGTTGTTAGGTAATTTTCCAGAGTTGGGAGGAATTTGTGTGCTGCATGGAGGCCGTGGGTATGATATATTGTGGATAAAAGGGATGAAGGACGTACCATAACAACCCACTTCGTAGTCGAAACTGAATTCCTTCGGAGCATTGGCCACGATGCCGTCGTATGGCGTAACAATGTAACTGGCCTTCAACGCGGCCGATCCGCCACCAGAAATCACCCCAGCCTTCGCATTTGGTCCAATAATTGCAATCCTCCGCGATTGCCCACTCGGTGTAGGGGTCAATGGCAGAAGTACTGTGGCATGTCCTCTCTTTGATATCCATGCAGCAGACAGGGGAGCCTCCACATCTTCCCCCTCGTTCGCCTTTAATGGAAGAAATCCGTTGTCGTTCTTCAACAGCACCATACCCTCCGCAGCAAGTTTCCTGGCAAACGCCCTGATTTCTGGTGTATCTCTAGTACGTTCTTTGCCATCGCCATACACAACCTCAGGATTTCTACGGGCTTGACGTTGAATGAAAGTGAGGAGGGTGGTGACGCGTTCGTCAATGGTGGAGAGAAGAACCTTTTGGCTGGAGAGCATGTGGTTTACTAGAAGAGGTGTACGCCAACGAGGAGGTCCAGGCATTTCGAGGTCCATGCCCGCATTGATGGCGAGATCAACACTGTATGTACCGAACCTGCACATACAGTGAAGTAGCACTCGCATGTGTGAATGAAGGATGGGCATACCAGTCGCTCATGACAATACCGTCAAACCCCCACTCTTTACGTAGGATGTCTTGTAAGAAGACAGGGTTTTCGGCAACATGCACACCGCCAATACGACCGTACCTATCCAGTTTATGAATTAAATCACACCATGTCAAGCTGATTTGAATGCGCACGAAGTCATAAAAGCCCAAGGCTTTGCCAGCTTCTGAGCCAGCATAAATCTGTGCTACATGTTTATATGAAGAGGAACAGACGGGATGAGGAGTCAGCTTGAGCGCACGGGTATAGATATATCTCGCGGAGGGCACGGTCAGACACTACCGAATCGGCTGCCGTACGTTCGTGTTCTTGGTCGTTACCGACAAAGTGCTTGATGGTCGCAGCTACATTCTTGGATTGCAGACCGTTGACGTAGGCCGCTGCAAGTGTACCTGTGAAAAAAAGTATCTGAGTATATATGTATTTGGAAGTAATATTCGAACCGAATGTTTTACCGGAGAGGTGAGGATCTTCAGAGAATGACTCGAATGCACGACCTCCAAGTGGGTTACGTTGAATATTACAAGTCGGTGCGAGTAATACGACGGAGGATTTGATCTTCGCTTCCTCGGCGAGGAAGGACCCCGCTTGTTGAATTAGGTCGACATCGAAGGTTGATGCCAAAGAAGTAGCACACTTTAATGAACGTGAGATTCTGGGAGATATCATGCGGGTTGCAAGGCACACACTCACCGGGAGGCATTGTGCTGGGGTCGACACAAAATGGGATGATCCTCGTACGCCCTTGAGACGGGACACAAATCAGTTGGACTGCAAGCAGCACCATGCGATCAAGGACGCACGTTCGGACCATCACTCATGCGAATGGACGTTATTTCAAGCCTTTCGACGGGTGTGGTATTCCACCAATTGGGAGCTCCAAGCAATGAAATCTTTTCATCGGTGGAGAGGTTACTGAGAAGCACTGGAATGGACGCGTCGAGGAAGGAGCGAGACATGATGTTCTTGTGAGTTCTGGGGGAAACAGGGCGGGAAACGAAGCTCACCTGGCTATGCACGCTTATAAGACCGCACTGAGGTGGGAGTGTGAGTGGGGAAGCAGCGGGTCATCCTCGGCGAAACCAGTTTGGTATAGATAGCTTGATAGATAGTTGGCCGACATGGCAGAACGAAATTCAACGAATGGCCTTAACCGCGACATGTCCTCTGACCGCTCTTGACAAACCTGCGTTCATCTCTCTCCTCTCACGAGACACTTAGGCGAGACTGTGCCCAGAATTCTAGCGTTCCTGCTCTCTGTTGGCCCAAATCGATCGCTCAAGACGTCAGTCGGGATGTCCCAGCCAACTCTTTCTTGAACTTTCCTGAACTTATTCCATCTGATTCTACTCGAAAGATTGACCTCCGTAGCCTTGCTTCACACTTTCACGGTTAAATTCTGCTAGCTTCACTATTGTTTGACTACTTCAATGTCTGAGGAAATTTCCGACGTCACTCTCAATCTTGCCCTACCGAAGACAGATGCAACTCTAACCGTCAGGATTATCAAGTCTTTCGAATTCAGAACGGAGAAGAGTCTAGTTCTGCATCACGTCAACCTCGAATCCACAACGGTTGGTCAATTAAAGGACCTTGTACGACAAGGTACACCCAATTACTACGCTTTGACTTTGGACCCTTGCGATGAGCTCTACTATGGTCTTCAGCTATTCACACGCAGACGGGATGGAAACCGTACCGCAATGTCCAGCTCGGTGTGTGCCGATCTTTACTAGAGCCTTGTCCATTGCTTCTAATCTATCATTAGATACGTTGAAACTCTACACCAAAGCACATGGTGCAAAGGTGAGCGACGATACTCTTGATTATCTACTTCTGCTGAGGTTACCTCCCCCAGACGTCGAATCTCATCATCAACCTTGACCATGATGAATGGATATTGAACGACGACTCCAAAGTATTGGCAGATCTCGGATTCGGTTCGTAGAGCCCGTCTCTGCTGAAGTTCCTAGCTCATGAACGTCAACAGAGAACGAAACGGAAGTCAGCTTCTTTAATCGCGAACTGTACGAGCAATTTAAGGCACATCCTGATGTACATTTCTTCCGTATCTCCAACATAACCGGTCTGATTGTTTCTTTCAGGTTAAATGGGAAGGTTGATAGGGCTCTTCACTGCGACTCTCAGTGTAATTCTGAGTGTTTCATGGACGACTGACTGCCAATGTACTTCACTCTGTAATATCACCCAAGCATTATGGTACAAGCCAATTGCAATTTGTGATGACTTCTATTGGATAAAATTGCAACTACTACAAAGTGTGCGACTAAATTAATGTAAGAACGAAGGCAAAGAAGATGTAGAATGCAAGGTCGCGGGGGGTTGGGGAGGGGGAGAATATGGGAGCAACAACGTAGCATGGAAACCATGGCAAGGAACACGTGAAATCCAGGGAGCAAGAATATGGTTGGAAGAGGGGATGACAGCAGCAGCGGGCTAGCAGGCACACAGCACACAACACGAGAGATCAATACACACAGCAAAAGACGTTCGTCGGGCATACCATGGCGAAACATGGAACCAACAAACTCCTCAGCACCCCAGGGCCGAGAAGCGGAAAGGGGAAGCGGGTCGGAAATGAGGATGAGGTCGGTTGGGGTGAATGGAGGGAATAAAGGGGTTTATTGGTTCGCACACTGCACCCTCGGTTCGCCATCGTCTTCGTCCATGGGCTCGCCGCCGCTCTCTGCACGCTCGCGCTGTCGTTGATCGACCTCGTCCATCTCGACCTCCTCGATGAGCACGTTCTTGGGGAATTTCTGAAGCGGCTTGCGAGGTGGAAGGGCTTTTTCGAGGTAAGGGATGACTTCGGGCTCGATGCGTTCGGGGAATTTAACGGATACGTGTACGAAAAGGTCGCCGAACTCGTGATGTCGGTATGAAGGCATACCCTGGCCATGAATGACTTTCAGGTCGTCTGGGGGAAACGAAAGTCAGGTACGAATAGGATAAAATAAGATAATGAAATACGTACCGTGCTTGAGTACCTCGCCTGGAGGAATATTCACACTCAATACACGATCGTCTAAATGTTTGATCGAGATCTGGCCACCGCCCAATGCAGTGAGGAGATCGACTTCAACGTCTGTGAATAGGTCGTTCTCCTGTCTCCGGAACCGCTCATGAGGCTTCTCCTCAATCACGATGATGACATCTCCAGGTGTCACCCCAGGTGCTTGATCACTCTCCCCACGGAAAGTAACCGTCTGGCCACCCTTCATACCCTTGTCGATATGGACCTCTAACATCTTCTTCTCCGATATTACCTTCTTGCCATTACAAGTCTTGCACTTGTCCTTGTGGTTAATGATCTCGCCCGTACCCGAACACTCGTCACAAGGCTGTTGCATCTGTTGGATCATTGGACCCATCTGGCGAAGCGTGACCCTGACACCACGACCTTGACATGAGTTACACGTTCGCACGGCACCCTCTTTGCCACCCTTGCCATTGCACTTTGAGCAGATAACATTTCGTGTAAGGGCAAGCTTGGATGTCTTGCCCTTGTAGAGGTCTTCGAGGGTGACGTGAACACGATGAACAAGGTCTTTTGTTTTCTTGGGGCCTTGTTGCCGGCCTCCACCGCCAAAGAAGCCGCCGCCTCCGAATAGTTGACTGAACAGATCCTGTGCATCATCTGGTTGAGAACAAATGTTAGAATCACGGTGAGACAAAGCTGGCGTACCTGTGGATCCATGCCTCCCATTCCCCCGGATTCACTCAAGCCTGCCTCTCCTCGGGCATCGTATATACTCCGCTTCTGCGAGTCAGAAAGTACTTCGTATCTGCATAAATCGAATTAGAGGCATGAGGGGGGAACGACGTAAAATATGACATACGCATGCGTGACTTCCTTGAACATCTCAGGATCTCCGCCTTTATCAGGATGCAGACGCAGAGCCCTGTATTAAAAGAGCGTTAGCACGTCTGGACATCGAAATCAACATAGGCCAGGAGGGGCGCACTTTTTGCGGTAGGCTTTTTTCAGATCAGAATCTGAAGCATCTGGTGACACCTCCAGCAAGTCGTAATATTTCCTGCAGAAAGAGCGTGAATGGGTGGCATGGAGACTGGAAGGCGAGGGAAAACATACGTCTCCTTCACCATGGTGGCGGGTAATGATGAGAAGGAAATAAAGAGTGTGGTATAAGATTCTGGATAGAGAGAGAGAAAGAGAGCAGCCAAATAAACGAGCGGTCACTGAGCAGCAGAAGGCGGTGGAAGACACCAGAATCTTCCCTGCCTCATCTAGACGCCCACAATCCAGATATCCTTACAGGCTGCCCTTGGGCTGCCCTAAGTTACATCGCCGTCCGAAACAATTCCAGGGTATTATTTGCCATAGATTATACATCGAAGGAAGCCGTCACCAGAACCAGAGCAAAACAACAGCGAAACAAATCAGACTATGCTACCAGAGCCGCTAATCTACGAAGATGAGGAACATTAAGGTATGCGGGCACATACGTCTCCAGCCCAGATACCTCTCGTGGCAAGGGCAGTTCGTATGGTCCAACTTCGTCCGTCTCTGGCGGAAGAAGCAGGTGGTCATTGCGGTCATTGGCAATCACACGGGACGCGACTACGCGCAGGATCTCCGGCGATATGGGGTTCTGTACGCTGAGTCAGTACCAGCTGAGACACACTGCGCAATGTCATCATACCTCGTAATCAGCAACATAGTAGTTCGTGCACATTCGTTGAATCTGCGTAGGGGTCAACATCCAACACACGTCGTAGATGATCTCAATATCCGCAGGCGTGGACTGGACAGCCAGCGTCAGCTACAAGCATGAATGGCATAGCCAAAGCACATACCTTCTTCAGCTGTAACAGCTTTGTCGCTTGCATCAGATGTTCCAGCTGGAGAGTGCCCTCGGGCATGTCATGAGACTTGCACCATTCTTCGATTCGAGTGATGTTGTACTGGATTTGCATCGCTTTACAGCAAAGTCAGCACACGTTATGAGGAAACCTGACTAACGGCATACCTCTCTTCCACGAGGAGAAGTTTCGTCTCATGAGAAGATCGTTAAAGCTCGTAACACCAATCAATTTCAGAAGCTCGGTGATGACCTGTTGTACCACCGATTCTTCCATGTAGTAGCTCTTTAAGCTGCGCCAGACTTTGTTCAGCAGGTTGAGGATATCATCCATGCTGTATGCAGGCTGACTATTGCTGTTGAGCAACCTGTTGAACAATCGACCGCTACCTTCTGTAGTGGTGAAGCCGGGGAGAGACTGGCTCTCGATGAGTGCTGGAATGACCATCTTCGACAGCCGCTTCTTCGTCTCCGACATCCATGTGTGGTAGATATTATACTCAAGACTGTCAAGATCGTGTTTGACGACAGATACAAGACGTTCATAGTCGGCCCACTCAAACGGTCGCACGGCGTTCTCCTCACCCGGACCGATGCCCTGAAGCATGTCGCTCTCGGCAACGCAGATGAAGGAAAGCATCTCGTGGACATTGGAAAGCCAGAAGATCCCAGGAATGACGCAGTCCTCGCTAGTGAACGACTGTACGAACGTGTCAGAAAGGAAACAGCGGATCAAAATAAAGAGAGATGGACTAACCATAACGTGAGACTGGATAGTCTGCATAACATTCGCTAGGAATCGCTCGCTCTCCGGGATGAGACCGTACTTCCACATCTCATTCGTGATCAAGCTAATGAGGTTAGCAGGGAAGAGGATCTCCTTCACGTGCGACGGGTTATTGAGACTTGGTGCCGGGATCTTCAAGCCACGGATGAGACCATCAAGAACATCCTCATCCAAGTGTCTGATATCCTGCATCAGTCTGATCTTCTCTTCCGCAGGGTCATCATAGATATCAGCAAGACCATTGGGAGCACGGAATCGAGGAAGACCATCTTCGCCATTATAGGCGACGGAGACGGCACGAGCTGCCTGGCCGCGCTTGGCCATGACCATGAGCTCGTCCGCAGAGGTGCGGTTGTCGATGGGGCTGATCGAGTATACGCCTGCGGAACTGTGTCTGCGCTGGTGCCCGCGGCTGGCAACTGGCGAAGTACCATTTCCGTTGGGAACAGCACCATTGGGCTCTCCCAGTCGAAGACCAGGTGCGAAGGTCGGAGAAGTAGGTTCTGGACGGCTACGGGCAGTCAGCGCGTTGAGCGCATTGGCGCGATTGAGCTGTTCACGGAGATTGCTGACTTCATTCTTCAGGGTCAAAATGACTGAACTGTCGTCTGCATTGCGCACGGGAGTGTTGTCAATAGCCTTTTGTTGAGCCTCCAGCTGTTGGGCTTGTCGCATCACGTCGTTTGTCAATTTCTGAATCTGTTCTTCCTTCTCTGCCGCCTTGGCGACAGCCTCCTCCAGCCGTCTTTCCAAGTCCTCCTTTGCCTGCAAGAGCTCGTTCTTCTGAGCGACATCTTGTTGAGCAGTTTGTAGTTGGGAGCTGAACTGCTTGGCACGGGAATCGGCCTCCTCATGACGAGTAGCAAGGACCTCAAGCTGTTTCTCGAGCTCTGCAAGTTTGCCTTCCAGTACTTTCTTCTCCTCGGTACGCCTTTGAAGCGACTGCGTAAGCTCGACAACCTTATTTTCGAGTTTGTAGGAGATCTCCTTGAACTTAGAGACGGATCGTGCTTCTGCTTTGAGGGCTTTTAGCTCTTTACGAGCCAGACGGCGACGAATGCAGGACTGGAGATAAACAACATGCTTGACATCTGTGTGGAATGCTCTCCGTGTAAGGCTACGTAACAATCTCGTTAGTTGCAATAAGTATCAATAGAAAATATGAGACATACAAGCCACGCAGAAGACTCTGAAGAACGGTAGCAGCATGGGTTCGCCGCGATTCCACGAATTGTCGACGAGCTTGAGCACCACGTACACCTGCAAATGCCATTGACCTGAGACAAAGCACGAGGAAAAATACTGACGGATCAACTTACGGCTTTGGAATCGGATGATCGCCCGTCTGGTGTCCTGGAAGCGTTTTCGCTGAGTGTATCTTCGAATGGCGGTCTGCAATCGAGTCGCAGCAACTGTCCTCCGAACACCTTCCACGAGCTTGCGGGCGAGGATACCTCTCCACCAAGTTTGGATCTTGATCGTTGCATGTCTAAGCTCTTGATACTTCTTGACAGCCATTCGTCTACGCATGTTCTTCTGGATGGTTGTTACGAGAGCATTCAAACGACCGGAACGAAGGGATTCTAATGCAGCGAGCATACCAGCTCGGAAGAAGATCTTGGTGAGACCAGATTGGTATTTGTCGGGGTCATTGATCGTCCTATCTAGGATGAGGTTGCAGAGAGGTTTCAACTCCAGGTCACGAATCATGGAATCCCATTCGGAAGACTGGACAAGCATATAGTACCTAAAAAACCAGATGTTAACGCCGCTCAAGTCACGTCAACGAGAGGTGAACAAACCGTTCAGCGAATTCTTCATATGTCCAGCGAGTAGGATAGCCAGCACAACTGATACGAATAGTCTCTAAAACACCGCAAGCACGGAGCTGACTCAGCACTTGATGCGGCAAGAAATCCCAAGCTCTCTTTTGCTCGTTGGGCTTAATGCAACGAATATAGTGAACGTTGGTCTGCCCAAGGGTATCCATCAAGTTAATTAGAGAGGCCTTGAAAATCGAAGCCTGAGTGGGTTTCTTCACGACTCCGCCTGGCCGCTTCGGTCCAGCCGAAGCAGCAGCAGATGCCATGAGATTCACACGACCAGGGTCAGGGATGACAGAAGAGCGACGAGAGCCAGTACCGAAACCACTGCCCGCATCTGAAGGTGTAGGAGACGCCGGTGGTGCACTTTCGGGAGGCTTGTTAGCAGCGAAAGCGGCATCTAGAACTTCTTTTAAGAAGGCGTTCTTGGTATTCAAAAGCAAACCCATATGTTCGTCGGGAACGGTATCCCTGTTCTTCTCCAGGAAGCCTTCGACCTCGTAAGTGACGTCGAGCGCATAATGGGCAATAGTGAAAGCAGAGTTTCCAAATCGGGGCTTCTTAAATACGTTCTTGTTCTCCGGCTTGGTTAATTGGTTGTGCAATTTTTGCAAGAAGGTCGAATCTGTGCCGGAGGGGAGACGCGATTCCTCGTCAAGAAGGGCGAGGACACCGAGCTTCCCTTCGATAACATCGATACAAGGTTGATTATCAGAGAAGTCGATGAAGGTCCAGTTGATCTTTTCCCTGACATATTCCTCTTGCTCAAGTTTGAACACATGCGCGTTGAACTGCGGCTCACAGTAAACACTAGTGATGGAAAAGCTGTCTCGACTGCACGTACCTCTTGTTGTAGCTTTTCATTAGCGTAATTGATGCTGAATTGCTCGAACGAGTTCTAGAAGGCCATATCAGTAACAAGCTATCCTTTGATTCACAAGCTTACATACCTTTTGGAAGTGTTCGAAACCATAGATATCAAGGACGCCGATGAACATCTCGGCACGGCTCGCAGCCTCGCCACCTTCACCGGCCAAGCTCTCATTGACGATGTTGACCAGCCACTCGAACAGGCAAGCATACACGAATTTTGCAACGCTATCCCGAACACCGGTGGCTTGCGCACCGTTGAGGGATGTTACAATCTTTTCTGTCCGCGTCGTAATCTGTTTCTTAATCGTCCACTTCTTGAAGTCAGCAAGAGGAACACCAAGGAACCGGGTCGCCAGTTGTAGTGCCGGGTCAACATCGTCGATGGCAGCATCATTCCGCATCTGTGAAACCTTGATGTTTCCCAGGTGAAGCAAAGCCGAAAGCAGTTTGAAAACAGCCCACTGTTTCTCCACACTGATACCAATTGTGGATAGAGCAATTTGCGTTTGTCGAAATTCCTCGGCATCGTCGACGCCATTGATCGGGCTAGACGAAGGGCCGCCTTGCTTGAGATAGTGGAACTTCGAAACATCTGTGTCCAAGCCAAGATCCTTGCGTTCCTTCAGAGGTGCACCCGCGCAAAGCTGATAGAAGATGTGATAGTTCCGCTCCGTCAGCGGTTGGAAGACCACACGCGAGCGTTCGAGCAGGTACGTTCGTATCCGGGCACCGACGATCTCCTGCTTACCATCGAATAGAATCTGAAGCGAAGATCAGTGTATGCATGACCTCAAAACGTCTGCCATCCTGTACCTGTATGTACTTGCCAAACCGAGAAGAGTTGTCATTACGAGTCGTCTTCGCGTTACCGAATGCTTCTAAGACGGGGTTTGTGGCAAGAATTTGACGTTCGACTTCACTTGATTCGTCCAAGGAAGCTTTAGTCTTGCCTCTACCCTTCAAATCTGGCGGGTTCACGGAAGCCAGATACCTCATAATATACTTTGCCTAATTGCACATATCCGACATCAATACGAGAAAACGCGAAGATGACAGTGAAAAAAATACCGATTCTGTTTTACCTGCGCCACTTTGGCAAAAATATCAGAACTGCCAGAAAAATTCATGATTGTGCTGCATTCATACCTCTCTCCGGACACAATAATCGTTTGACCCGTGCCATCCCTGCTCATTGCGGTGTATGCGTCCTCGGCAATGGCAAACAAATGAGGCTCTAATTCCCCTCGTTTCCGGCCACTATACGCTTGTATTATCTCAGGTCCATAAAGAGTGACACGCTGGAAAGGGTTCATAGCAATGAGCACGATTCCGCTATAGGTATAGATGCTATGTTGGGCATAGCGATTCCGGATGGTATGTAGGACTGAATTAAATGAGAAAGTCAGCACGTTATACACCTATAGGAAGGCGTCGACGTACCAGATGGCTCATTAAGGTGAGAGAGTGTGGCCAGATCATCGGCTGTTTCTAGTAGTGGTGGATTGCGTAACGGCGGGAGGCCTTCCTTGCCATCCTTTATCTCCTTGACAGTGGTATTGATGACAACTTCCTAGAAGCAACAGGAAGAGAGTAGGGCTACCTCAGCGGAAGTACACTGCATACAGCAAAGCAACATACCTTGCCGCGTTCATCGACGAAGAAGAGCTTGACGGTATCATCAGAATTTTTCGTGACAGACGTGACCTCCCCAGATAGCCAGCTCAGCTCCTTGTCAGGGAACCAAACCTTGGTCCCTTTGCTGTATATGTTCTCCGCCATCAGGACGTATGGCGGTCGTGAGCTGAACAGTGTAGCGTTGCAGCTGTTCCAGTCTCAAAGTCGCATAGCAATCTCGCTCAGAATGGAAGTTTCTTCTCACGGCTGTTGGATTCCTACCACGTGTTCCCATGAAATTTACGCGTTCCCTCAAGTTTTTTGTTTTTGTTTTTGGCAATCTCCCTTTCAGAAGGTTTGCTCCGATGGTCTAAAATCTGCAGCTTTCGACAGGGGTTAATACTCAAGAATGCCTTCCAAAGGACATAACGGATGGGGCAGGGCGCTACCCAACTATTTATGGCGCAGTGCAGTATGTTTTGGTGCACAGCTGCAGCTAATATTCCGAGTTGACATCAATATCCACGACACTTGCATAGTATTATGATGGTCATCTAGGCTGTCAAGAAGGTGGTACGCAGCCCAGAACCTCCAGGAACATACTGCTTAGTAGCACCGTTTGCTCGCACTAGTCAAAGCAAATTAAGTGTCATGTAATTGCGAGTGGACAGGCCTGATTTAATCTGTCATTGTCATGCTCCTTTTGTCTTTGTTCAACAGGTCCTTTGAAGGATCTGAGATTTGAGGGCGTAGCTGGTCCTCCCGATATATATATTAGGCCCTACCGCGTATATCAGTCAACTTCATTCCCACTTCATAAAAGCCGAACATTTGGAACATCGATTCACCACCACCTACATTTTTACTATTTCTCAGTGAGTGCTATTTTTTTCGCAAAGTGCATGGTGGCCTTAAGATTCAATATGCAGATATCTTATTTCTGCGATGGAGCTTAACTACGTCGTAACATTCTGCTCTATGTTGCTACATTCCTAGCACTGGAATCGCGGGTTGCTGCCCTTCCCTTACTACGAACTTGCCGAGCCCTATATCAGGGCGGTGCACCCCTCCTTCTCAAGAAACCGATTTGCCTTTTCTTGGCCCCCCGGCGTGCCCATTACACAGAGGCAGTCTTAGACTTTGCGCTGAAAGACTGGCCTTCCCGTCTCGGTCATCTTCACTCAATTCGGCTCTTCCCTAATGCTGATGTCCCTGAGGAACGCGCAGTTCTGACAGCTACGTTGTCGAAGTTGTTCTTCGGCGCGCAGGGGCTTCGTTTTCTGCAGCTGGATATTGAGTGGTTTCTCAGGATGTTTCCCCAGCTAGAGCCGACATTGCTCAGCCTCAGATCTCTTACAATGATGCGCATCGAGGGTTATTGGTGTGACAGAATCCCTGGATTTCTTCGCGAACTACATGCACCGCTCACGGAGATTACACTCAGTCTTGACCGGGTAGTGGTGGATCCAGCCAGCCTTCTGGAAGACTTCAAGGAGACTCTCACTATTTTGGAAAGTGACGTGTCGACCAATCCGTGCTGGTCGGAAAGTAGGACTGTTACTTACCCAGCCTTACGGTCACTATCTTTTAGTCTCCAAAGCTTTTTCCGGACCGACGTTCTGATATCTAACTACCCAAACCTACAACAGCTTGAAGCAAGACTTGATCAGACGGCCATCGACGATACTAGTATTCAGCAGTGGCGTGACAGAAATAAAAGCTCGCAACTCGACGAGTTGTGCCAATGGAGAAATCTACGTCTGATATGGGGAGATGCCGCCGCGCTCTATTGTCTCGCCATAACCGGCAAAGTCCAGTATCTCTATCTTAATCTATGGCACCCCCAGGACATTGAGAAGGTGGCCGAAATCTGCCAGGATAGTCGACCTACCTTTTTTGCACTGAGATCAATCGACATCAACATATGTGACATTGAGATGCTCACAGAAATTGTAGTCGCCGCTCCTTACCATGCCATGACGCTTGGTTTCTCCTTAAATGCATCTCAACTGGTTATCGTAAGTAACTTGGACTGCCTATTGAGTTCCGTGCAAGGTACTAATCAGCGTATTGTTAATGCTTCAGGAGCACTACTTATGGAACATAGCGACCTGCTTCAAGAATCGTCCGCTACGAGTTTTGCAGTTGTCTTTTGGTTGGCTTCCCGCCTCTAATGAAGAGTATTCCCCCAGCTGGAAGACTTGGGTGTGTGACTACATCCTCCAGTATCCCATCCATTCCTTGGTAGAGAGCCTTGCCAGGCAGGCACCGAAACTTCAAGAGGTCTATGTCACCCTCGATGTTTTACACATCAAGCGAGAGGAAGGCTATCGGGTCTCCCACAATCAACATGATGTTATCGTGGAACAGCTCGCTTCGGAAGCATTCAAAGAAATGAAAGAAATGGAGGAGTCCGAGCATCCGATGGAGAGACGTTGGGGTGATTCAATGACCGAGTCTTCACTTCCGAGCCTCTTATAGACAGTGTTAGAAAGTGATTCTTCACCTACAGGGTCTTGCAACCTGTTCATGTCACATCCTTCGATATTAGTATAATGGCTGGCATTTTTATATCTTCGAGCCTATTCAAATATTCATCGTACATGCATATTCATCTTTATGACGCACTGTCAGTTGAATGTGACTCAGGACTATTCAACGTCTAGAATGTCTGTTCCGCGTTACAGTAGTGTCATTTTGAATGTAATATGTTACTGGAACTGACGATATCTTCGCAGATATCGATGCTCAGCCAATACTGAGTGTATTTGCAAATGCAAACGTCCCGAGTCTTTGAGACCCATTCAGAGTGAATATCGTCATAAGTAACATACTTTCGACACGGCATATCCTTGACTATACACGGGACCGACAGACAATTGTTCTTTTTCAATTCATGAACCCCTTGCTTACATCTGGGTACACATCAAAGCGTCGTTGAGTTGTTACAGGAATCCCGGCTCGAGCTTCTTTGAACGTGGTCGGATCTGTATGTGTCATCGAGTTGTCAGAGACAGATCTCTAGCGCGCAGAACAAATAACACGAGCCGATTTGGGCGAAAATGATATCTTCATCATGTCCGGCTTCCATTAGAATCTTTCCCCTATGTAGACTAAGTCAAGACTGCTTTCACTTGAATTGCAGAGGTCTGTCTTACATTGGATCAACCACCATTGAATGTCCCCACTGCGCGGATGTAAGACAAAGACAGCCGCAGGTTGAAAACGTCAACTTACCGCATGGTATCCTGCGGTGAGGTCGCGGGCGGGACTGCACATCGAAAAAAAGACTTGATTATCGACAGCCCTAGACGTATTTAAATGACCCCAATCGTAAAAATCGAGTACAATTAAGGCCTACCGTGCACGTTGGAGAAGTTCCCAATGAAGAGGTCCAGTAGTCGTGTTGAATGCGCTTGGATAGATCAAGACCTGGCAGCCTTCAAAACGTCAGCGAGCTACGAGAACCATTTCATACAGACAGCAACTACCTTGTCGAGCATTGATCATGGCTAGCTCCGGGAAGCGGACGTCATAGCATATGCCAAGTCCAATACGAGCGAACTCTAGAGTGCTAAGGTAACATGGTTAGTTAGTATACTCAGACCGCTGTATCGCACCTGTATCGAAAAAGTTGATAGAGTGGCCTCCCGTGAGGGTTTCACTTTCCTTGAAATTAGGTGAGTTATGGTTAGCGACACATAAACGCTACGGCTACGATAGGAATACAGTACCTTGAATGTGATCTTCCCCGGAATATCAATGTCAAATAGATGAACCTTTCGGTGAACTGCTACAAGGTCTCCTGTTCGGGGATTTAGCAATAAGTCAGGACAGACTTCTGAATTGTATTACCAGCAGGAGAATAGACGGTCGCAGCGTTGTAGATGTTTCCATCGCTGGTGTCCCTCTCTGGAATCGTACCTTGTATGCACTTCAGAGATCACGTAGAGCCGATAGTCCAACAGATCGACTGACCTCCCAAAAGCCATACGCCTGCTTCTTTTGCGGTGGCCGAAAGCGCCTTGACAGATTCACTCTCCGACTTATTGATATCGTATTTTTGTCCAGAAGTGTACCCAATTGTTTCTGCATATTGCGGAAAGTGGACATGACCGTATGGGGAGTTGAAGCACTCCTGATACAATCAATGAGTATTGACAGATGGAAATGCATCGGTTTGACATCGGGCGCACAGGTAAGACTATGAGATCAGGCTTCGGAGCACGAGGTTCATCCCCCTTGGCAGCCTTGAGAATCATCTCGCGGGCATGCTTCAGATTAGCTGTGTAGGTCTTGTAAGTTCAAACAAAGTCATCTCATTACGTGACTGCGCACAGGATTTATCTGCTCCAATGTGACCGAGTTGGATCAGAGCAAGCGTAAATGGTTTGAAGGTTGGCGCGGTGGAAGTCATGGAGAAACTGCGGGTGAATCTATAGTGTGGAAGACTGCTGCGCACAATGCGTGAGAACATAAAAGGTCTTACGAACACAAAGCTGCCCTGGGAGCCCGACACGGAGAGTTTTGTTTCGTGATCGTGAAAGGCCCTTGGAGGCTTGGAGCAGGTGTAGATGATGTTCCTAACTATGTGATCGAGGCTACCGTGATGGGATCAACGATCGATGGCCGCTCGAATTACACCACCTTCCCCATCTAGCCATCTTGGCCACTCCTCCATTCACTAGCAAAGCGACTCAGTCGGTGGTGAGTGGGTCGGTGTTGGCATGCGATGCTGAAGCAGTAATTTTTGGATTCAGATTTAAAGAAAGCAATGACCCTCGTTGTCGTCTACAATCCCGTCTGCGGTGATCGGACTGCGGAGAAATTCTTCAACGAAGAGGTCCTGCCTCGTCTCAAAGAGCAGGGCAAGATTCCAGATAAAGTCATTGCGACTACACATCCGAATCATGCAGGAGAGACTATTGTGGAGTTGTTAAAGCAAACCACAGAGTCTTTGACTGTGATTCTTGGCTCTGGTGACGGTACCCTGCATGAGATAGCCACTTCCCTTCATCATTCTCTTGACAGACAAGTACAAAGTCAAGTTGCGATTGTCCTTGTTCCTTGCGGCACAGCCAACGCGCTATACTCTTCACTATTTCCTTCTCAGTCAGATGACCCAAGTTACAGACTGAAGTCTCTCAATCTGTATCTCTCACCATCTCCCACCTCTATTGTCTTATCATCCGCGACAACAGTTGTCCATCCCTCGCAACCCGGCGGAGATACTCGATCATCCGTAGCTATAGTGGTAGCCTCTACCGCTCTTCATGCAGCTATATTGCATGACTCTGAAGCACTACGATCATCTCATCCCGGGATCGAGCGTTTCAAGATTGCTGCTCAGCAGAACATCACCCGTTGGTATCACGCTCGTGTAAAACTCGTACCGTCACATGAACATGAGAGTGTCGAACTCTACGATGTATCTCGCCGAAGCTTTATCGCTGTCACTGAAGAAGGGTCAATTGAGTTAGAGGGTCCATTTACATATTTCTTATCGACAGTGAATGTGGACCGTCTAGAGTCTTTGTTTCGTATCGCTCCATTACATGCGACTTTGCCTTCCCGAACGCCCGCACTCGATATCGTTATCGTTCGACCTTTGCGCAACCCAACCATTAATGACGACTCGGAGGGAAGCAGGTTGCGGTTTGCTGAGCAGGGTGGCATTGTGCTGGGAGGAGCCTACAGGGATGGTGCGCATGTGAACATGATCTATGGTTCAGATGGGTCGGTAGGGTCTGAGGAAAATTCCGGTCAGTCCGTGGTAGAGTACTATAGGTGTGGAGGGTGGGAGTGGATACCGGTGAGCTGCTTAAATACCGTTACGGAAGTAGAAACCTGATTGACAACTTCGTTACAGGATCGGGACGATGAACATGCACGTTTCGTATGTGTTGATGGCGAGATCTTCAATATCGAGGCGGGTGGTAAGGCCACTACATCAATTTCGGGAAATATACACGGAACTCAGTTGTCTATATTCGCATGAGCCGTGATGTTTTTTTCAGAACATAATTCTTGATAGAAGATTAGGAAGAAGTGAGAACTCGTGCAAGTGAAGTTGGATATCTAGATGAAGCCCTGTACGGTATAGAATATACATGTGTTATGTAGTTGTGGTCGGATTAAGCGGTCACGTTCTGACTAAGCTCGCCAGCGAATAGCTCCTCCACGACCGCTTTAGCCTTCTCGTGTACTTCTTCAACGGATGCAGTGGCATCAATCTATCGACAAGACCTTGGTAGATATCCATGGAGATGAACGGAGAACTTTGTCACGCACAGTTGCCACTTTACCCTGCTTACTGTAATACTCGATTACAGGCATAGTCTCCTCCTTATAGACACCTAGAGCGCAGTTTAGAAACGCTACGAGGCAAAATACACGCAAACTTACGGAATCGCTTCTTGATGCTTGCCTCGTTGTCATCTTCACGGCCGCTTGTTTCAGCCCGTTTGAGAAGACGTTTCAGCATCTCCTCCTCCGTGGTCGTGAAGAACAGGACAAGTGAAGATTTGCAGACCTAATGACGCCGTTTAGCGTACTGTCCGCCTAAACATCGGACCAGATACACACCGCATCGTCAAACATAATAGCTTGGTCCATCTTACGAGGAAAACCGTCAATTAGGAACCGACCGTGGCCAACTTGCCAACCCTCGCCTGTTCGGCCTTCCTCCAATGCGGCACGCATCGCGTTCTCAAGTAGTTTGACTGTTATCTCCATTGGGACAATCTGACCTTCCTTTATGTAAGTACGAATCAAGTCTCCATAAGCAGATCCAGGGCGGTTCTGCTCAGCTCGGAGCAAATCACCCGCTGCGTAAAGCAATACAAATCAGCATACCAGTTAATGGGGTACAACGAATGGAGCTTACCCGAAAGATGGCAGAAATCAAAGTCCTCGACAAGGTTTGCACATTGTGTACCCTTTCCTGAGAACGAAACGCGAATCATTGAGCAATGGTCTATTCTAAGCACTCAGTGTTACAGTTCAAACCTCACCAGCTCCAGGCCCACCGAGCACGAAGATAACAGGAACTTTGGACGATTCAAACGCTGGCTTGTGGTAGGCAGACTCTACTTCCGTCGAGGTGATTGCATCATCGGCCGCTGTACTGTCCTCTGCGGGTTTGGGTTCTTCAGAATTATGTTCCTTCAGGTGCAAGGCTTCTGCAATCTTGTCTATGATAGCAGGCATAGTTATGGTATACTCTGTTAGTACGAGGGATGGGTTAAGAGATCTCTCAAAACATCATATGATACGTACAATCAGATCTACTTTGAACTTGAATCGGACTCAGACTCTTCCTTGGGGTGAATGGGCGGAATGAAAGGGCTATCGCGCTGTCTGGGCTGCTTAGAAGCTGGGTATGTAGCAGCGCGATGTTTGGCGATATAGTAGAAGGCTCCGAAGGAAAGCACGGAGATACCAAGAAAGAGGAACGGGTTGGGCGGTTTGTTGTTTGGCGAAGACATGCAATTTCACTCCCGCAGGCCTCCCTCCCTTTTCTGGCGATTCTGCCGCGCACGTGGCAATAATGCAAGCGCGTCGGTGGCTGCAGCCTGAGTGACCGCGTCTTGTTCCACATTGACCACCCTCTCATACTTATCCTCTTTATCGTCTTTCTCCTTATACCGAGTACTAAAAACACAGAATGGACGTGCGGCATTACCATGGCTCTGACGTGCACGTTGTATGTGCATGCCATCACGACGATGGCACGGACCTAGTTGCAATCGGAGGCACGCATTCCGTGCAAGTCTTACAAGCCGTGTGTGTTCTTGAACATGTCTCTATTTTATGCTGAACTTCTCTAGGAAGATGCCTACATCATGTAAAGTTATTGCAAACTTTCATGTGGGATGTAGGATCACTGCTCTGGCATGGTCATCAAAAACCACCTCTCCGTCATTCACTGACGATTGGACAATAGAGCAAGTCAGTTCATGTTCTTTTTATACAAGTTAACTCATGAGATTTGCAGAATTGTCGCTGCCGGATATAACTTTGGCCTCTATTTGCTCACAAAGACAAGGAATGGCGACGAGAACGTCTTCTCATTTGGTGGTGGTATTAGCGGGCACCATGGTAAAATCAACGATATGACATTCTGTGGCGGTCATTCAGAAGATAGTTCAAGATATGTAGCTACAGTGTCTGGTAACAAACACTTCATTGTTTTGAGGACTGCATTGCGTGCTGATTACATATCGTTAGACGACAGAGTGCTTATGATTTGGGATCTCCACCCTGCCATCACCATCCGCTCCCCTGGTTCTCCTGAAATTACGGATGACTCAAACGGCTCATCGCGTCCCCAGCCAACGGCCTTACCCTTTTCTTTTCCTCATCCTCTAGCTTCCATCTCGTCCCATCCGAGTACCAGCAAGGAATTCCTAGTGGCCGATGCCCGAGGTTCCATCTTCCTGATAGACTGGCGTTCGGACCCGACTGCGAATGAACAAACGAGTTGGCGGAACGCAAGCGTTGTGGAACTAGTCGAGCCCCGTGCGCTTTCAGATGCCGTCTGTGGCGTCTCCAAAAGATGGTCTGCCTCTGTTGCTTGGCGAGCAGACTCGGCAGATATGTAAGTAACCGTTTTATGACCGTCTCTTTCATGCTTTCATCTTCCATCCTGCCGAATCTGATGTCTGAGCGGCTGATTCTATTCATTCGTCATTACAGCATCGGTGCAACATATGGTTCCAAGTTCGCACTGTGGGATCTGACGAAGCTGCATGGCGGCAAACCTACCATGTCAGGCACTAGTTTTACTGAAGGCGGCAACCGCTTTAGGTAAGAAATCCTTATTCCCTCCCGCGAACAATAGACGTTGAATCTTAATGGGGATGTGGCACAGGTGGTGTCCGACCTTCCCCGAGTACTTCGGCGTATCAACAAACTCTCCCATCAAAGGCGCAGTCATCAACGTACACCACATAACGTACATTGACACCGAACCCACGAGCTTCACGGTCGCCCCAAGGCCCTTGTACGTCCGCGACTTTGACTTCCTTGCAACGCCCGGTATTCCTAGGATCGCTGCGGCTGTGGGGAGAGACGTAGTTATCTTCTACATTGGGGTTGAATCATAGTTTGCCGCTTATACACGTCGGTCATCATCATCTTGGCCTTTCAGACTGCGTGGATTTCTACACGGGGCCGACTGAACAATAAGGCATGATTAAAGCGAAGTCGGAGACGGTATAACGACGACAGAGAATGATTACACGAATCTATGCACGATGTTAAAGCCATTACAAGAGCGACCGGAGACCAAACAGGAGGGAAACATAAACGACACCAGTAACGAAACGATAGCAAGAGCGACAAAATGCGACCAACTAAGAGATGAGGAGACAAAAAGAAAGTACATAAGACTTTTTAAGCGTTATGTGACCACTGTAATAATCGAAAAATGGTTCATGTACCCGAGATGCAGTAGACAGAGGAGTGCATACATCGTGACTCCGAATCACCGCATAAGACCATAACCAGTCGGGGGAGGAGGACCTTGATACATCTGTATAGGGTATTGCTGTTGCTGCTGTTGGGTCTGCATTGGCGATGAATGTGAGTAAGGCCCTGCATACCCAGCCTCCATCTGTCCATGAGCATGTCCATTCGCGCCATTCACTCCATTGGCATAGCCCATACCACGATGTGATCCAGGGCCCAAATTCGCAGGATCGGCACCCAGTCCATCCGACATCGAAGTAGGACTAGAACTTGCATAAATCGAGTCAAACCCATGAGGCATACCCAGCTCCTTGAACATCCTCTGGAAGTAATAAGCTTCACTGTCGGATTGAGGAGGTTGCATCACATTCCCATTTGTCAAGTGACGTGGCGGTGGGCCGCGGTGGTCAAACGTGCCAGGGATATGCTGATGAGACGTTGGAGAAGACTGAGATGCGTGAGATGAATGCGAAGGTTGGGATGAATGGAGCGGCCCGTTAGATGCGTAACCGTACTGGTTCACACCGTTGACGCCATTGACGTTCACGAGACTGTGCCGAAGGGAAGGGTCAGAAGCGGACATGGGAGTTGGGTATCCTGTCTCGGGTTGCATGGGCATAGCGTGAGTCTCAGGCGGAGGCAACATTGGGGGTGCCGAACCCGACGAGGTCGGAGAGGAATTAGAAGGGAAGCGGAAGCTGGATTGTTGCATAGAAGTTGAGCTTAAGGGTGGGGTATATTCTTGGAGCGGACGAAGAGCGTTATCCGTTTCAGTTGGACTGACAGAGGCATAATTCGATTCTAGTCGCGGAACCATTTATAAGCTTAGTGCTGAAAAATAAAAATAAATGAGAATACGCTTACCACTTGAATCACGTTGATCTTGGTCAGTTGGGGTCTCAGATTCGTCCCTTTCCATCCTGTCCATTTGTTCCGATCTGAACATGTCATTTGCGACCAGGCTCTTCAAAAACCTCGAATGGTGCGCAGCAGTGGCACTCGAAGGATCCGCAAACTCGGCATATGTGTCTGCGACCATTGAAATGCTCCTATAGATATCGTCTCGTGCGTTTATGGGGAGGCTGTGTTTAGTGTTGCGATTACGAAGAAGCTATCAAGCAGCCACCACAAACTTATGGATGAGAATCTGATATTCGACGAGCAAGAAAGGTTGTTTTACCGTAATGAGAAAGACAGCACAGTAAGCAGTCATGACAGTGATAGTCTCTTGTCCGTACCGCTGCAAATGAACAAAGTCATCAATTCGCTGAAGATTGGCGAACAACTCGGGTGCACGTACCAGCATCGCCATGGCCGCAAAATCATCTACAACACTCCTGAGGTGTTCCAAACCACTCACGTAACATGCATCCAATGCTTCGATAAGTTTGATGTCCCGTGGACTCACTTTAGCCTAAGCATGTGACACTTGGCATTAAAACAAAGTATTGAAAGAAGGAAGACAAAATTACATTCGATAGGGGCAGTTTGAGGAAGAGGCTGTTGAGGAAGAGTCGGACGTAGAGCCAGAAAAACCGGAGGAAAGCGTGGTGGAATTTCTCGCCGTCAGCTATAATTCATGATGAGCGTTTCGAGGTTCATACTGATGAAAACGCGTTGAAAGTATGCGAAAGAAAACAGGTCCTTACCTTTCTTCATCTCGGTTGACCAACGCTCCATCCACTCGGCTAGTCTCTCATTGGTACTGTTGATCAACTCACCAGGGAGCCATGGGCCCATTTGATACACCTTCTTCGTGACATCAGAGGCAATGATTCGCAGGTTCACGAAAGCGGCCAAGATGACATCCTCTGGACGAATGGTAGAACCGCCGTGTAAGTGCCAAGCATCACCATGAACTACCAATGGTTCAAGGTGATCTAGCATCCACGGACGACCGGTTTGAGTGCTCAGGCTACGATCGTGGACGAAGAGAACTAGGAAGGTGCGTTCACGGTTACGGCGTTCGAGGAATTGAAGCGGTGTTTCATTCTGTGGATAAGCGACGTATTCATTGAGCCCAAGTTCGACGGCCATACGACATGCGTAGCCGATGTACGTCCAGGTTCGGGTATCATCTGGTTCTTTCCAGTACGTTAAACACGCAAAGGCTTGGGCGACTTCAACGCTTTTCCAATTCTCTGCAAAGGCCGTGATGGCATACTCCTGGGCCATCTTGTGGGTGCGTTGGTACAAGGATGGCTTGAAGAACTTGCAACAAGCCATGATGATTACTGTGAACAAGAAAGGGGACCGGGAACGGACATAGTGTACAGTATGGAGCGCGGGGTCAAAGAGGTTGATGAACGAGTTGAGACGCAGAAAGAACAAGTCGAAAAACACGGCAGCATCCTTTTCCTCAATAAGTCCTGCTGCGACGGGGTCCCTCAAACCCGGGAAGAGTCCGAGTCTTCCGTTGTAATCATGATGAGAAGAAGCTGATGGGGATCGTGTCGTGGTAGACGAGGCTTGGCTCACACTCCCTCCGCTGCTGGACTGATGTGGGGAATGGGGGTCGGAGTCCGTTGGGTTTAAGATGGTCTTGAAGAACGAGTTGCGTTCACTTTCCTTGCGGATTAGTTGAGCGGGGAAGATGTTGTCCCCGGATTTATCTGTGTCATCGTCATCTTCTGCTCCCACGCCCCCGGAGGAGGTGGGCCGTGAGTACTGGTTCAATGACGAGGCGTCCTGAGTCATTGAGGGGTACGGCGTGGGCAGTAAGAGATCAGTGTGGTGCGATTTTGCTTTGGCGTTGTTGAGACCCTTTTCGAGCCGTCGGAGCATTTTAGAAGCTTCGGATAACCTTGGAGGAGGAAAGATATATGAAATATTGAAAGACGAATATCAGACAATATACTTACTTTGATCCTGGCTTGCGACCGCGACGGTGCTTCTCGAATTTACATCTGGTCAGATATCAGCCACCAAGGATTGGGTGGAGGGTGAAATGATGAGGCGCACTGTTGGTTTGTGCGGACGCAACGCATGCAGGGGACATGCTGCTCCTCGTCCGCACCGACGCATTTCATCTGCGGGGAAACAGATGAGTTTAATTGAGGCGACGCGGTTTTCGCAAAACAAAGTACCTTTGCGGTTCTGCATACGGTGCACGCCCTGGAACCGCGTATGATGGGTTGCTTACCACTATGAAGCAATGCATGAATGGATGTAGGAAGTGAAATACGTAGAGGACGTACGATTTAGAATGATCTGTCATGGCAAGGAATGGGGGAGGGTTGAGACACCGGAAGGGAGGAAAGGGTCGGCTATTTGTTTGCTAAGATGGGTTGACGCTGAGAACACGGTGATCAAGGACGCGGGATGGGGCACGGGGAATAATTTGGAGAGACGGGGGCAATGTTAGATGGGGGAAAGAGACAAAGAGAGCTTGGAGGGGGCGGCAGCTTTGAAGAGGGGCAAAGCAAGTGATATCACAGAGCAAGGATGATACGAACAAACGCTCTGCGGTGGGCGCGAGCCGTCTGACGCGAACAATCTCCGTCGTAGAATCTGGCCAAGGGTGAGAAGCAGCTCGGTGCTGTGCGGAGGGGTTCTTGTGTGAGCAGTTGTGGGCCTTCCCGCTTTTACGTTGGCGAATGCATCCACGAGGAACGCATCCGAACGCTTTACACAACGCGCGTTTGCGGTCTCTGCGGTGCCTATACAGAACACTCATTCAGTGCTGATAGCTATAACGCCCACTCCGAGTCCCCCGGAGCTCGGCGTTCTTTCTGTCCTCCGATTTTGCTTCCGGTCAATTACCATCTCAAGGCCACGCATACGTAAGCATTCCTCCGCCACCCATAACCCTAACCCCAACTGCGTTACTGTTGTTTCTTTTCGACTCCGCTTTAATTACTCACAGAATCGTTGTTCAAGGGCGTCTCTGCACTCTCGTCAGCGCGACCACTTACCGACTTCATTCTATCTACTTACTCTTCATATGGTCCGCATAATCATCAAAGGAGGTATGTTCTCTTCATTCCCTATTCAAATGTGTCCATACTGACTGCATTCCCCAGGTGTTTGGAAGGTATCTATTGTCTACGTTCGATTAGCGATCGTTCAGTACTGACTCTATTTGCAGAACACCGAGGACGAGGTCCTCAAGGCTGCCATCGCAAAGTATGGCAAGAATCAATGGTATGTAGTATTCTTCCCCTGTATTCTTATCGTTCTAACTCCGCGGGACAGGGCTCGTATCTCTTCGCTGCTCGTTCGCAAAACTCCCAAGCAATGCAAGGCTCGCTGGTACGAATGGCTAGACCCATCCATCAAAAAGACGGAATGGTCAAAGGTATGTTTCCATCTCCCCATCATTGTGTTCACTCCCTAAACAGTCTGCATTTACCCTACAGACAGAGGATGAGAAACTGCTTCATCTTGCCAAACTCATGCCTACCCAATGGCGAACCATCGCCCCCATAGTCGGTCGAACAGCAACGCAATGTCTCGAACGTTATCAGAAACTGTTGGACGAAGCTGAGGCAAAGGAGCACGAGGAGCTTGGGTTGGCGGGTCCAGGTGGCGAAGCTGGTCCCAGTGCGGACGATATCAGGCGACTGAGGCCTGGTGAAATCGATCCCGACCCTGAGACAAAGCCTGCTCGCCCAGATCCTATTGACATGGACGAAGATGGTACGCCAAGCAGTTTTATACCACGAGAAACTTTCATCCTTACTCTTTTCTTTCAGAGAAGGAAATGTTGTCAGAAGCTCGTGCTCGTCTGGCCAATACCCAGGGTAAGAAGGCTAAGCGGAAGGCACGAGAGCGCCAACTTGAGGAGGCGCGACGTCTCGCGGTCTTGCAAAAGAAACGAGAATTGAAGGCAGCGGGTATCATGTAAGTGTCTACCCCTTGACTTTGGCTGTCCAACTTCTAACATCAATCATAGTATGCGTCACAAGACGAAGAAGAAGGGCATGGACGTGAGTTACTCAATATCAACTCTAATTCTACCTGTCAAATGCTGATCATGTTCTGTCCAACAGTATAACGCCGACATCCCATTCGAGAAGAAACCCGCACCCGGCTTCTACGACACCTCGGATGAACAGGCCCGCGAAACCACAGCTCCAGTAGGCCAATCTCTCCGGCGACTAGAAAATAAACGGAAGCCCGAAGAAGAAGAAGCCGAGCGGCGCAAACGTCAGCGTAAAGGCAAAGAAGGTGGCGGTAACGAGCCGCCTCATCAAACAAAGTTTGTTGCTGCTAGGGATGCTCAGATCCAGAAGCTAAAGGAGGCGGAGAGTATTGGACGGAGGCGAAAGTTGGTCTTACCTTCGGCTCAGGTTGGTGAGGCAGAGCTGGAAGAGATCGTGAAGATTGGACAAGCAGGTGAAGAGGCAAAGGCGTTGGTGGGCGGATCGGGTAATGAAGCGACAGAGAAGTTGTTGAGCGACTATGAGGGATTGGAGAGGGCGAAGATGGCGAGGACGCCAAGGACAGCTCCTCAACGTAAGTCTTTTCTTCTTTACACCTTATGGTTTTCACTTCTGTTTAGATTCTGATCTATTCTCCGTGACTCTACAGATGACAACATCATGTCCGAGGCTCGTAATTTGCGGAACATGACAATCACACAAACGCCTTTGCTTGGTGATGAAAACACACCAATGCATACTGGACCTGCTGGAGGGACTGGTTTCGAAGGTGCTACGCCCCGACACCAGGTTGCGTTCACCCCCAACCCTCTCGCAACACCTTTGCGGGCGGGTGCTGGAGATATCGCTGCCACCCCTCGGGACCTACAAGCAGGAGCTACACCTCTCCGAACGCCTATGCGAGATAGCCTCAGTATCAACCCCGAGGGTGCAGTTTCGTTCATGCCTGGTGCAACTCCTCGGCATCGAGAATCACCTGCGGTGAGGTCTCTCAAAAGTGCCTTCATGAACCTTCCCAAACCGGAGAACAACTTCGAACTTCTAGTCCCGGAAGAGGAAGAAGCCGGAGATGAAGCGAGGACACGATTGTCTGAGGAAGATGCTGCCGAGAGGGATGCCAAGATAAGGCGACTACGGGAAGAGGAAGAACGGAAGGCTTTGGCAAGACGATCCCAACCTGTTCAGAAAGGACTTCCTAGGCCTGCGAACGTGGATGTGGAAACTATGCTCTCGAGACTGGATATCTCGGATGTTGGTCTGGATGAAGCGGCGAAACTGGTTCATGCGGAGCTTGTTCAGATACTGGAGCACGATGCGATTTCACATCCTCTACCTGGCACGGCTCTTCCTGGAGGTACGAGGTCGTCCTACATGATTCCGGATGACGATGCCGTTGCAGCCGCGAAGAGTGCCATCCAGACTGAACTCGCTTCGGCGCTTGGGTACCCCGATGCGAACGAGGACCAACTCAAAGAAGGCATTGCAGCACTTTCTCGATCAGAAGACATGGACGAATCTTTGTCATGGCCTCAAATTCGTCGTACACGGGTTGCGTTCGATCCGACAAGCAAATCCTGGGTCGATGCTGATTCGTTGTCACCAGAAGACCGCGTTGCCGGTTTGTCTGCGTTGCTTGATCGCAGTCGGGAAGTGATGGCTGCTGAAGCGCAGAAAGCTGGCAAGGCCGAGAAGAAGCTTAATGTCACGCTGGGTGGTTACCAAGCTCGACACAAGGCTTTGTCGAAACGGATCACAGACGCGTTCGATGAACTTAAGAAGACCAAGCTGGAGTACGAGAGCTTCGTCCGCTTGAGGGCGAATGAGACGGCTACTGGTCCACTTCGGGTTGCTTCGCTCAAAGAAGAAGTGGACAAGCTTGAGAGGAGGGAACATAACCTTCAAGGAAGGTACTCTGAGCTTGATAGTGAGAGAAGGGAGTTGGAGAGTAGGGTGGGTGAGCTTGAAGATAAGCTCATGGCCGAGGCGGAAGCATTGAATGAGGCAGCACTTGCTGAAATGGAAGGCGCTGTGGAGGTGGCAGCGTGAGGTGATTGTGTATATATTGCTTGTTCTCTTGTGTTTTAATCTGTACGATAGTTGTTCCGTACATCGCTCGCTCAATAGTTATCTATCTGAGCTCAGAATAACACTTTCTCATCGGCGGGAAGTATGCCCAGGATACGCGCCAAGTAACACGAGGATTGTCACAAGCCCAGGGCCCAGTTCGTAAGAGACATGAGGTGAGACATGCAAACCGACGGCCCTGGATGTGCACGACCGCGAGCAGGACAGATAGGCACACATTTTGAACACGGAGATTCTCCGTGACTGGCTTTTTCCGACTACACGAGTCTTTTCAAAGGCCTATCGATACTGAACGCCCCCAATGTCTACCTTTGACCACAATATTGCCACTACTAGTGAATCTTCCTCATCAACCGTGACCTCCTCACCTGTTTTCGGCTATGCATCCGATCGAACAGACCATTTACGCGCAGGGGTGGTGGTTAGCACGACCACTATCTTCCCAAGTACTTCTCCTACAACTACGCTTGTGTTTGGGGAACCTCCAGCTCCGGTTCCAATAGGTGCCATTGTGGGAGGGACGATAGCCGGGGTGGTTCTGGCCGTGGGTGTGGTCGTAACATGGGTGTGGTGGGGGCGTTGCATCAAACGTGAAAAACACAAGGAGAAACGAGAACTGGTGAGTGATTCTTACATACATTATATGTCAACTTGTCAAATTCGAAGATTCTTCTTAACTTGATCGGAATTGCTATTTCATTTGTACTTGTAGCTTCGTGTCCTTGAGGTCAGGGAGAACACTCGAAGAAATGCGTCTACATCCGGGACGGGGGCACCCTTGGGCCATTCTCCGGCTTCAACTCTGAGCAAGCAGAAGAGGACTGTCAAGTTTGGGGACGAGCCTCCTCCTTTGCCGAGTCCAAAGCCTTCTACATCCGGTGGTCAGTCTTCCACAGTTGTGTGATTACTTGATTATATGAAATCCCTTCTGACATCGTTTTGCACAGACGCAACTATCACTTCTCGTACGAAAACGCCCACTAGTACTACCGCTAGCAGCAGTCTGACGACTCCCTATGCCCCTCCCAAACCGAGCCCTTTGGCTCGGGCGCTGTCTACCTCGAGTACGAAGACCTCACCACCGGACACGACCATAACTCCTCTGCCTCCAAAACCCGTAACACGAATACACCTGCCTATCGTCGACTCACGACCTGTGAGCTCAACATTAAGTTCAAATTCTTTCTACTCGATACAAAGTATGGACGAGCCCCAGCCTCGAATCCCATCCGGCCTCATAAATGCTGCGCTCTCACCTCCAGAACCGAGCAAGAAGTTCTCCTTTCTAAATTATCTCCCACCTTCGAGGTTAGCAGTAAATCCAGACGAGACCAGTCGGTTATCTCAAGTCAGCTCAGGCTCAGAGATGTCACGGCCAGATAGTATGTCTGGAGTTGGACATGCTTCATGATACCTTTATGGACCTTACTGACGACCTTTTGCGTCATATGGACATGATTGTGACGTGATAACGGACTTTGTGTTATACCACGAATCTGTACAGTATATAGGTGTTTCTTGAGTTACACCGTGTTGCAGCGTATTGTGTAGTTTCTTTGAGCTTCCGTCGGTTGCGCACCACCTGCTGGTCTATGAGTAGCATACTTTTGATGTAGCCGACATGATGCAGACGATAGTATGTTCTATACTTCTATCGTAGAGAATGAACGTAATGCTAGGTTCAAATATTTTCAGGATGCATTCCAGTACACGAGGTGCCCAATGCTTACCTGCTCAAGTTGTGCTACAGAGTCTTTGAACTCAGCAACTTCCTTCCAGCAATCCAGAGTCCGTGTAGGGTTTGCACTGCCCAACCACACCACATATATCAGAATGAGTTCACAGGTCCGCATAATTCATTACGCACCTATAGCACGAAGCTACAGCCTGGCTCTTCGTCTGGAATTCCGTAGCTTCCTCCTGAGTCCTCTGATATTTCTCCACCTTGTGTCGAATCTCCTCCAAATCACCTAAAAGCGCCGCACTGCTCTTCACGCTGCCAGCAGACCCATCTTCAGATTCCTCTGAGAGAGATATCTCCTTGTCCAAGTTTTCTTTTTCCAGCGCACGTTCAATTTCCGACTTGACAATCTCTTCCTCTTGTCGCAGTCTTTCGAGCTCACTCTGGATTCGAGCGCGGACATGGGAGTCAAGAGTAGATTGACGTTCAGGACTGGGTTCAGGGGAGGCTACTTGGTCTGCTAGCTGGTTGATAATGTCCTCCGAGAACTGGCGTAGATGATGAGACGCGTAGTGATGCAGAAGTAGTACGATCATACGCACTTGGATGGGAGTGTCGGAGTAGAAAACCTTATCCTCTTCCTCTGGCCTAGACTGACTGGCACCCATGCTACTCGCGTAATGTTCAGTTGCACTGTTTTTAAATGTTCAATTTGGACGCACATTGTCTACTCCGAAAGTCGTGTAAGTGATCGGGTGAGAGGAGGTGTAAAGCCTGAATCGCAAGCCGGGGATATCCTACAGGTCGGCGCCTACGGAAGCGTTTGCCTTTTTTGGATACGGTACGAAACGACTCCCGATCAGGGTCGACGATTCACAGAAAAGGTATGCTTAATTCAATTGGATCGCCGGTAAAGTGAACAGATTTCCAGAACTAAAGCCTATGTAGTGATAGATCTGATAAGTGCACGGCACGACAAGGAAAGAACCTCCATGTAGTATTGTAAGAAACCAGATGATATTCAATTCAACTTGACACAAAGAGAGGTGTGGATATCATGTCTGACCATTCTTTACCATATGACGTTTTATGCATCCAAATCTCATAGTGCGGAATCAACCTCGTCATCATGAACTGTGCTGACGCCACTAGAAAGTACCAGATTGCGCTTGTAGGGTTTATCCTCTGATCCTATCTTCAGCGTAACTAATCCTGCGTGGTTAGTTCTTCGAGCCAGAACAGCCTTGGCCCAGAACTCCATCCAGATAGTCTGCCCGGTGACTGCTTGAGGAAGCGTAACGGACAGCTGATATTGTGGATTGAGTCCATGTCGTCCTGCTTGTCCGTCATCCTCCTGAAATGTCCACTCTGCTGTGGAGGTATGGATACCGCATCCACGCACCCACGAAAAGGTCCTCCGAGTATATTCTGCATTTTTAGAGAACTTGCTCTCACCACCCAGCGAAACAGCAGAATACCCAACGGACATGTTGACATTCCCTTCTCTACCCTTCCCCCAATGTACCTCTGTAAAAGCCCCATGCTCATCTCTCGGTAACATATCCTGAACCTTCAGGTAATCTGATACGCCGTCATCGTCATCCATCCCAAATGTCACCCTGAAGAGTGCGGAGGTGAAACGCATATTGTCGGTAGTATCAGGAATAAATCCCATTCCGAAAATGACCTGGTTTTGTTTCGTTCGGTCGTTAGGACGTGACAAAGTGATGTTGAAAAAGGAATGTCCCTCGTTATCCTTCCCGATCTGCAGGCCTTCCCCGGCATCCGTTGGAACGAATACACAACCAGGTTCAGGATCGTGGAAAGGCTTGTGCATCCTAAGCAAGCGTTCATACCAACGCCCCTTATTCCTATCCTTGTGTAGACCAGTGCATGAGCTGAGGCTATTCACATATTAGCGAAAGTTAAGCCCAATATGTCCCATGACCTACATGCTACCTGTGGAGACCGTGGTCTTGCAGAGCAGTTAGACCATATACCTGTAGGATAGCAAACAGAGCCTCACCAAGCTTGTATTGGACCTATTGTGGCCACTAAACAAAGACAACGTCGGTCGGATAGGTGGGGGTGAGGGGCTATCGGGTACAACGAGATTATCGGTTGATCTGGAGCGCGGAATGCGCTTGGGTGGTGGAGATCTGAATGTTCAATTAAACACCCAAATTCGCCCCCATAGATGTGGTATAAACTTACTTGGCTGAAAATATAAACTCTGAGACCATAGGCTATTGTGGCCCAGTCGTTAAACGACATTGAATTATTAGATATTACAACGTGCGTACCTCAAATTCATCCCATTCGCAGTAGCCACTGACACTCCCCACCAGTTTACCCACACAGAAGACACCGACATGAGGGAACTGCAACCGGTGTCAGGTAGCCAAATGGGTGATTATCCTTATGACCCACTCCTTTGACTTTTGCAATTCGCTGAGCTATCTTGTTTTCAGACGTATTGCGCGAGCAGTCAATCCTGTAGAACTGTGCGACCTGAGTGAAGCCTTCATGCTCCGCCGCACGTTCGAAGACCGGATCGAATTTGCCACAGAAGCAACACCAAGTCGCAAAATACTGGACAACGGTGTAGTGAGGACTTGCGATCTACGTAGTCAGGTGAATAGAAACCCATGGATGTTAACAGCACAATCCAGTAAAGGGAGAAGGATAGCTTACAAGTTCTTCAAACTGTTTCCGTTTGGTGATCAAAGGTACAAAGGTATCCATCGTGCATCGGACTATGTTGGACCACAAGCGGTCCCGTCGAAGCAGACCTTTATAGATAGCCTATCTTGGGTGACTACGGGTCGTAGTGCCCTTGGGCATGGCGCATGAGGAAAAAACCCGTAGAGCCAGAGACGCTGAGGAAGCAGTTACTTCCATGACAAGACAGACAGCCCATGGGAAACATGTCATAGTATGAATGCTTCGGAGGCATTCTACCTACCAACTTTCCAGATAAACTACAGCATTCCTTCCTTTCAAGTCAGGTAGGGCGGCAGTGATACAATCTTGGCGCACATAACTGCCTTGTGACATGATTAGGCTAGTCATGCCACCAGCCACCTGGGACAGAGGCCTATTAATTGATACTCATTCAGTGCCTCGATGTGTTGAACAAGAATCGGCCATTAACTTCGGAAATGGAATCGAAGCATTGCAACTGCATGTCCGGAAGTCTTCCATGCTGCTGTATCTATGACGCCCAGATTTCATATCAACAGGCCTGGGAATCTCATCGGTTTCGGAAGGATACTGCTCTACATAAGATACTCATCTGAACTCCTCATAGCGCCCAGAGGGGTATCTCCTGCTAGCATCCGTGTTCGATCCTCCCTTGGTCATCGGAAAGAATTAAACCGCCATGTCGATTATTGAAGTTAAGAGCCTAAAGCAATTCCACGACATGGTGAGATAATTTCTGCTTTCAACAAGGAAAGTCATTGCATGTTATAGGATCTTCTCAGATCTCAAGTTCAAAACACACTTTGTTGCTCTGGATCAAGCCATGGTGCCCATATTGCGCTCTAATGGAGGGCAGATACAAGGAGGTGGCTGCATCCGGTATGTTCAAGAAAGTTGCATTTGCGATCGTCGACCTGGAGGAACAGAAGGTATGCTATGGTCCGTCTGGCAAAGTTCGCGGACAATGACTTTTCTTCCAGGAAATCGCTGAAGAAGTGGAGATAATTGGGGTTAGTCGTTGTGCATTTTCATGAAGCAAGCAGACTCATGTCCGGTGGCAGATCCCCAAAGCAGACCTCTTCCGAAATGGAAAACGAATAGCTAGAATAGAAGGGTTGACGGAACAGGGCGAATTTGAGGTATGCAAGGCATCTTACGATGCGATTATGCCGCCACTTACACTGCATGACCAAGGCATGGTTATTACGGACAATAAACGAGAAGAGGTGAATTATTTCGTCCCCTTCGTAGCGTAAAAGATGCTAATGCTTGCGTTTTGCTAGCGATCCTGTCGCAGTGCATCGTCTTGACAAATTAGGGCTAATGTCCAGGTCCACGGAAACTCTACCAAGCTACGCATGCGAGTTAGTCAGATTCCCACCAACTCGATATGAACTGACCTTTTTGCTGTCTAGGATAGGCAAGTCGCAAGCCATGTGTATAGGGAAGTTCGAAGACAGGCGGAAGCGTCCGCTAATATTCCCAAAAAATCGGAAGGCATTCGTGGATCTGGAACCCAACTGCGTCTTTCAGCCGACGGAAGGCGACAATGGTATTTTGATCGGACGGGCCAATGACGATGCATCCTACTTCGACATCATTCTATGGAATTCTCCGCAAGACAATCCAGGGAAGGTCTATTTCAGCATCGACTTCATGCCGGATCCAGTGAAAAAAGCGCGTTTTGAGTCGGCAGTATTCCAGGTCACTGTGGCAGAAGATTCCGCTGACGAAAGTCATTCACCCTTGACCATCCACGACTTGTATCCTACAGATGAAGACGACATGGTAGATCGGAGTGTCTTCATGTCAGGGCCGGAGGATGGAGACGCTGTTCCCGAAGACGATGCATTAAGCGTCTTTTCATCGATTTACGAAGGATCTCGACCAAGAGGACGCAATACAACAACGACAGTCCGCGGACATGGTATCAATAGCCCTACTGCGGCGTGGACCTTCACAGTGCGCGATAGCCCATCTGCGCGTTACGGTCTGGCAGCACATTATGACATGTACATCACTCTACCGACAACAAAGCGAGTGTGGTTGCAGTTTACGAGCAAAGCAGTCTTGGTGAAAGGGGAAGAGCGGAAGCATAAGACGACGTTGAGGATTGGTACCATCGAGAAGCCGTATGAAAGGATCATGGATCTCAGCGCCGTGCTAAGATCAGCATGAAGAAAAAACTATTACTGGCCGGTAGCATAGTGATCATAGTAATTACTCACCTGTTAACATCCCAATGCACTCTTCATTCCGATTACCTGCTTCATTATTCGAAACAATTTCGCACTTCGCTTGGTCGCTCATAGATCGGTTGGATACAGTACAAAATACAACCATACAGTCTTGGCAATCATCTAACACTCACACCAACGCCAGTACGTTTGTCGTGAAACTTGTGTCCATACTCCAACAGCCTGTGATATAAATCGGACCTGTCAGAGAACCATGGTGAACCGAAAACAAACTACACACCAATCAGGTTCTATTTCGGTCAGAATTCGAATCCTTGGGACGGAATGTTAACCGTGCTCAACTCAGACAGAAAATAACTGCAACGTACTGCGTCTTCTTGGTCTCCTCCATCTCATGGAAGATAACCCATCCAGACCGGGGTTTCCTGGTGAATAGTACGGAGTTGGGGTGTACATGCAGGACCTGCGGAAAGTATGGTGAACAGTGAATTTACCACTGCAAGTGGGCATACGTACCACATTGCCACGAACAGAACGATACGTCCCATCTGCCATCCATTTCGCACCATTCCTCCAATATCCACTCACGATGCATTGTCGTAGCCGTTTCGCGTCGCCTTGACAGTTCTCAATAGGCAGTCCAAAGCGTTGCATATACTTCTTTAGCTGGGCGCGAATTGACACTGCGCGTGATAAAGCACGGAAAGATAACGCATGTGCCTTGCACCACGACGATGACCGTCCATAACGAGTGAATGCATTGTAGGCTACAATGAAGTTAGAATGCCTCTAGGAAGTGCAATAAAATCTTGAAGCTCACCATTCAGAAGAGTCAGATGATCCTGAGGCAGCAGGTAAGCTAACTAGAATGCAAGGAGTTTCGAACAACACTTACTCCTTCCTCTGCTGTGAACTTTCGACGTTCCAGTTCCGCGAGAGCGCCTGCGGCACCGTCAGGAATGACAAAGACGTCCTATATGGAGCAAGATTAGCGTTGACATAGTGTGATCCAATGAATACCGGGAAAAATGTACCTGAACTGTGGTCATGGCAGCAATTGTCAATATCTCTTCACCACATTGGTAATCTTTCGAGGCGAAAAGCTGCACACACTCGGTTAATCTCAAGTCTCAGTGGCAGATCATAAAACATAGCTGACCATGCGTGCGATGTTGACCTCAACGGGACACTCAGCAACCTTCTCGCCAATAACGGTAAGACGTCCATCTTCACCAACCATTCCAGAGGCAACAAGACTTTCGAGAGCACGCAACACAGCTTCAGCAGGTGGACTCGAGACCCACTCGAATTTCATGAGGTCATCTATCCCAAGCGATTTGAGTTGCAGAATAGGTGTCGTCAGGTCTGTGCGAGTGATCTCGGGTTGGGTTGTCGGTGGGAGGGATTCAAAAGTTGATGCGGGATACAGGCGATAGCAGGCACCGTAAGAGGTACGGCCTGCACGACCTGCTCGTTGAATAGCAGAGGCACGTGACACGGGGATGGTGGAAAGGGAGGAAAGGGAAGTGGTAGGGTTGTAGGTACGGATCTGCGCAGGAGTGTGAGTATCACACAGCACGTCGACAGAAGGGAGTTACCTTCACGAATCCTGAATCGACGACATATTTGATGCCTTCAATGGTAACACTAGCCTACATATTATCAGCACAAAACGCGAGGCACAACGTCAATGGGATTACTTCGGCAATATTTGTCGAAACGATGACTTTGCGGAATCCGCGCTCGGCGGGTTCGAAAGCGGCTAGTTGTTCATCCATAGGTAAACCTGAATGGAGCGCATGTAGCTTTAAACGAGTTGCGCCACGGGGCAACCTAACACGATATAAAACATTCACAATTAAGCTATATCTGGTGTTGGGTAAAACGCACGTTGGGAGCAATTCTGCCAATCCTTCCAGACAACGGTCAATCTCCTCTCGCCCTGTCAAGAAGACCAGAACATCACCGGAGCTTCGCTGAATTAAAGTCAAGCCTTACACATCCCTGTCAGAGAGATAGGAAGCATACCTGTAAGTTGATATTCCAGACAACGTCAATGGCTTTTGCGACATAATCAGGTGTTGGCTGTTCCAAATGCGCAATATGGACCGGATACATGCGACCCTCGAGACTGACTATAGTGGCTTCTCCTGGGGGGTTTCCGCTGGAGAAGTAGTCGAGGAATCCAGCTGCGTCCAAAGTAGCCGATGATACGATAACGCGAAGAGATGGTCGCTTTCGGCGAATCCTGATGAAGAGAAGATGAGAGATGGCAGAGCTAGATCATTGTATTCTAATGTACTTTTTGAGAACACCGAGCATCAGGTCGGTATACACGCTGCGTTCATGTGCTTCATCTATCTAATGAAGAAATTATCCTTAGCGCAAGGCGAGATGGCGCATATTCATGATACGTACCATTACCACGCTATATCTGCTCAGTAATGGGTCTAGTAGTGTCTCTCGGAAGAGAATTCCGTCCGTCAGATAGAGAATTCTAGTACGCTTCTTGTCGCTGACGTCTTCGAAACGGATCGTATAGCCCACCTGAATTGATAGGACATGTTTGAGTTCAACGAAATTGATATAAGAACGGAAGACACAAGTACCTCATCGCCTAAGATAGATCCAACCTCAGTAGCAACACGTGCGGCGACAGAGGTTGCTGCAACTCTTCGTGGTTGTGTGCAAGCAATAACATTCCCATCGGCAGCCCAACCTGCCTCGTGAAGGTATTGGGGAAGCTCTGTTGAGATGATGAACGTGAGACACCATTTTACATAGAGAGAATGTATAACTCACGTGTCGTTTTTCCACAGCCAGTCTGTCCAACTAGGATGGTTACACCATAGTTCTCGACGCAATAGAGAAGTTTCTCCTCTGCAAAGGTTGATTATTCCGCGATCATAACAGAAAAGTAGCACTGTACCAACTATGTTTGAAGATAGGAAGGCGTTCCCGAGCTGCCTGTATAGACACGGCAGCACCAATCGGAGCAGAAGAGATTACGCTGCCCTCTGCTTCTGTTGCTCGATCAAGTGTGCTTCCAGGTCCGACAGTACCAGGTTTCCAAAATTGCAAGGAAGACATAATGATAGCGGTGGATTCAAATCATAGAATGCCGGAGAGTGCTATGTGGGCTTGAGCGTGGAGGACAGGGTGAACGTTAACAGCAAGTGAAGGACCCGACAAGAGATAGTTCCTTATTGGGACTGTACAAACACATGTAAACACCGATCATTAGAAGTATGCTACATGGGGCGCTAAAGAGTAGTCATCCTTTCATCCTCGAACAGCGACCATGTCTGAACGAAAAGGTGCGTCTCTCCTTCATTCCTGCACAAATCCGTACTAATCTCATATCTTCTAGTCCTAAACAAATACTTCCCGCCTGACTTTGACCCCTCCTTGATTCCAAGGCGGAGGCAGCCCAAAAATGCACAACAAGTGGTTCGTCTTATGGCTCCCTTCTCTATGTATGTGATTCAGATTATTGATTTGTCATCCAGCACTAACGATTTATTTTGATTAGGCGGTGTAATACCTGCGGCGAGTATATCTACAAGGGAAAGAAGTTCAATGCTCGTAAAGAGACTGTAGAAGGTGAAGATTACTATGGTATCAAGATCTTCCGTTTCTACATCAAATGGTACGTCTACTCATTATTCAGCTATCATGCGAGATACTAACGTCTGTTCCTCTGATCTAGCACACTTTGTTCTGCTGAGATCACGTTCAAGACGGATCCCAAGAACACAGACTATGCCGCAGAGCATGGTGCATCACGGAACTTTGAGCCTTGGCGAGAAGAACAGGCGGTAGAAGAAGAGGACCGTTTAGCGAAATTGGAAGAGGAGGAGAATAACCCGATGAAAGCGCTTGAGAACAGGACCGTCGATTCGAAACGGGAGATGGACATTCTGGACGCTCTGCAGGATATTCGAGCTCGCAATGCCAGGAACGAGAGGATGGGGATGTCTGTCGACCTGTTGGAGAGGATAGGAATCGAGGAAATTCAGACGGAAGAGGATAAAGCGAAGAAGGCAGCTGACGAAGAGGATGAGAGGTTGGTGAGGGAAGTGTTCAGCAAGGTGGCCATGCCGGCAGCCGGATCCAGCGGATCGGAGTCGTCCTCTAGCACAACAGTGACAGTGAAGCGTAAGGCGGGCGATGCGGAGCCTGATCTACGCAGTTTACTGCCAGAGGAGACTCGTTCTCTTATTTCCTCCAAAGCGGCTGCTGTACCTGTTCTGAAGAAGCGCAAAACAAATTCGTTAGGAATCAAAATCAAGGCGAAAGTTACAGCGAAGGCAGCTGTCTAGTTTTACTCTGGGACATCCATACACTGTTGTATAGTAGTCTATATCCTATTGCATATACCCTTCCAAACTCTGAGAGTTCGTGTGGCACACGATTGCAGCCGGCCCACACGTGGCTGCCACTGTCGTCACGGCACCAACTAGACTGACCCAGTGCAACGCCCTTGCAATGAGCTCTTAAGTCTTTATTTCCAGACGATCACCACAACAGTTCCCTTGTATCCTCTATAGTTTTGTACGACTAGCCTAAACGCTGTCCATAGCCGACAGTGGTCAATCTTTGTCCAGACTGACGTTGGGGGTTTGTTCAGTGATAATAGATTCAACATGGCCTCGACCGGCCTTACGAGCCTAAGCCTGACGTCCCTCTCCTCTACGCTTTTTCGCATTGCTGCATATATTTTTCTTCGAGTGGTATGTGTAATTCCATCATATACTGAGAGTTGAATCACTCACTTGTTCTATGCAGATTCCGGCAAGAATATTCAAAACTCTCTTACCGTCCCTCTATGTGCTATATATAACATCTGTATATCTTGATTCGGCTTCGATAGAGTCCGAGATTACCGCAGAAATCAAATCTGCTACAGAAGATGAGAAGGAATTGCCTCCCATCCCAAATAGGTCGCATGTTACAGAGGTGAAGGTACGTTGCATGATGTGATACTCCAATATTGCTCCAATATTCACAATGTTGATCTTGTGATAGTCACATCCAAGCATTTGGGAATCACTCGTATTCCTGGTATCATCTTCACGCTCCGATTCGAGTCGCATACGAAAAGCAAATCTCGCTATCAATACCCTTCTCCTGCTTGCAGCTGCAGAATTCGTGGTGTATCCTGTGTTGGACAAGGCTACGGATGTCACCTTCACTAGAGTTGGGGCTGTATACCCAGACTCTGTCAAGATCGTCGTCCGGTACCCACATCACGACACAAATGAAACGCAAGTCCAAGTGGTTTGGCGACAAGCTAGCGATTCGCAAGTTATCCCAGGCTGGAAGACTGGTCCTATTGTCAACCTGACCGAGCATAATGACTGGGTGAATACCGTTCGCCTGACTGGCCTCTGGCCGAGTACCAGCTATGAGTGTGAGTACTACGCCATCCAGAGGAGCCGATAGTTGATTAGACATACAGATAGGCTCCAAGATAGTAACGAAACCTTACTGCCATATCCTACTGAGCCTATTCAATTCCGTACTTTCCCCGACCCTCGCATATCTGTTGGTTCACATTTCCGTTTCCTTGCAACCTCCTGCGCAACACCAAACTTTCCATATGCACCTCTGCGAGGTCGAAGAATCAAAGGCTTCGACCTCTTGGCCGATTACCTCTGGCCTAGGTCCACGACTGTCCCTTCAATCCCTCCTGCTGCTTCAAGGGCATCAAATGATTCCATTGGAGATATTATAAAATCGGCTGTGAACGAGACCGTGTCTGCCGCGTCTTCTGCGTTTTCGAATCTTACGAAACCTGCTGCACAATCCGAACGCGATATTCCTCCGGCTGAGTTCATGCTTTTCCTAGGCGACTTCATCTACGCCGATGTGCCAATGTACTATGGAGACGATAAGGAAGCCTATCGACGACTTTATCGCCGAAACTACCAGAGCCCTAGCTTCAGGAAAGTTTATGAACGTCTGCGTATGTACCTCTGGTATCCTCTAAAGTCTGTGCTCATTTGTATGTCATGTTAGCGATGATACATACCTATGACGATCACGAAGTATGCCATCTTGTTGAATTCTTCCGCCAGTTAATATCACTCACTGTGGCCTAGATTATCAACAACTACGCTGGTCAAGGCAATGACTCGAAACCGCCTTTCCCCAATGCCACCGATGCTTTCCAACTATACAATTCCGACGCCAATTATGACCCACATGCAGATAAAGATGCATACTATTACGACTTCCGTTACGGTGATGTTGCCTACTTTGTGATGGATACTCGTAGGTATCGCTCGACTTTCAGTGACGGGACAGTCGCAACACGCACGATGCTCGGCGAGAAGCAGCTCGCTGCATTGTACGACTGGCTAGGAAGGGTACATAGTTCTTATCTATGTTTGTGAAACCATTTGACTTTGTTGAGGCAGGTCAACGCTACCTCCACCTTCAAATTCATTGTATCTTCTGTGCCTTTCACATCCTTATGGACTCACGATGCCCAAGTTGATTCGTGGGCCGCCTACGAGTCGGAGAAAGCAGCTTTGCTCAATGCCCTACACTCCGTGCCCAATGTCATAATCCTATCGGGTGATCGACACGAGTTTGCTACAATCGAATTCAACGCCGACGGACCCGGTCACAAAGTCATCGAGGTTTCCACGAGTCCTCTCAGTATGTTCTACATACCTTTCGTTCGTACTCTTCGTCCTGCAAGTGAAAGTACGGTGAAGAGTGTGCGCATTGTGGACAATCAAGAGATAGTGGAAGAAGTGCCGGAAGAAAGAGTCATAAAGTACATAGGCCCAGGCAATTACAAATGGTAAGTGTTTCGGGATTAGCCCCAGCGTGGTTTCTAAGAGAAGGCCGTTCTACAGGTCATCGTTCGAGGTGGATACCAGAGACTTGAACCACCCCACTGTGCATCTGGAGGTTATGATTGATGGATCATCTGCGTATAGGTATGTAACAGCTACTCCTGTTGGATCTTGGTTTCTTTCTGATTTGGTGTATCTAGGCTCGAAATCGCCGGCAAACCTGTACAGCTACATACATCTACTGCCCTGGGTGCTTTCGTACCCGAAGGATTCAAAGGCTTGCTCAGTAAGATCGGTCTCAGCCCGACACGTTGGTTCTAAAGTTCCAACAATCGCCCATCTCGTGTATTCCATTTGCATTATAGACGAAATGCGTCTGAAAGCCCTGATATTGTATTCTATTTATCTTCACTAGATCCACTGCCGAATTGACGTTGTACGCGACGATAATGTTCCATCTCCGCGGGGCTCACACTTGGAACCAGGCTATGGAGCGCGGAGGTGAAGTCTTCTTGGGTGACCAGTACGTCAACTTCATGAGGATCAGCCAATTCGGCGAGATAATACTGTGGAGTCAAGGGATATGGATGGCCCTCAATTTTACGCGTCGTGTTCAGATTAGCTGAGAATTTGTCAGTCAAGTGATCTGTAGATTGGCAGCAAACACACCAATTTTATCATCAATCTCGGTTGCCTTCCTGGACATGGCCTTCAATAACGCGTCGGCACATAGGGCGTAGAAGTCAGCCCCAGTGAAATTGAACGTGCAAGCTTCGGCAACTTGATCCAACCGTAGATCAGGATGAAGTTTGAATTTTCGCGTCAAAGCATGGAGGATGTCCAACTGGGCATCTTTGGTACTACTAACGCCAAGGTATAATAGGCGGTCAAATCTGTCGATGATTCATTAGAACAGAGATGGGTAACCAGCATTACGACTTACCGTCCAGGTCTCAATAGGGCAGGGTCCAGTAGATCGGGTCTATTGGTGGCTCCAATAACAAATATATCTGAGCCAGAACCACCGGATGATACACCGTCAAGCTCAGCCAAGAGCTGACTGACGATACGGTCCATGACACCGCCTGAATCACCCTGGTTGCCTCGTTTTGGAGCAATGGAGTCCAACTCGTCAAAGAAGATCACGCAAGGTTTAGCGTCTTTGGCGCGCTGGAACACTCTTCGCACATTTGCCTCTGACTCGCCAATGTACATGTTCAGCAATTCTGGTCCTTTGACGGAGAAGAAGTTGAGCGCAAAGGAAGTTGCAACGGCCTTTGCAAGTAAGGTCTTTCCGGTTCCGGGAGGACCATACAGAAGAATACCTGTACCTCACTGTGAGGTTAATGTCGAGAATAGAATTTAGTGGGTCTCACCTGATCGTTTCTTTAGTCCTCCGGCGAAAAGCTCGGGATGTTCAAGGGGCAGTTGTATTGTATCTAGTATATTAGCTTTTACATCTGCAATGCCCCCGACATCATCCCAAGACACAGCGGGAATATGAGGAGCACCAATGCTTTCTGAGAAGGATGCTCGGGCAGCCTTTAAAGCGGACGTAAAGTCTTGGGATGCCACAGCTAAACTGCCGGCAGAAGTTGGTGATGTGATGCTGCATGACCTGTTATTATAACGAAACTTCTGCAGGTGTTTTAGACTCACTGTTCAGAAATAAGACGTCTACTGGAGGCCCGTGTTGCGTTTAGTACTAAGTCGGAAAGATCACCGGCAAGAAACGCCGCAGTTTCAGTTGCCAACTCTTTCAGGGATATGTCCGGCTGGAGAGTTGTTTCCGCCAATAACGTTTCCAGGACCGTTTTCCGCTCAGAATCAGCCGGGCTCTATAGAACTATTAGGGTCCCCACGCACACTAGAAAATACTACTCATACTTCATATACCACTCGATGCTTAAACAGTGCCAATGTTGGCGCAGAAACTTGATCCGTGACGGAGGTCGTAGCAAAGACGAAAACAGGATATGTCGTAAGAATCCAGTTTTCTCTCAAATTTTCCATACATCGGACCAACATTTCGGATACTATGATGCCAGTATATTAGCAGGCCATCAAGGAACACGGACTACATCGATCTCACTTTGCTGTGTCCCACTAGCCTGTGACGTTTGACCGAAGGCATGAAGGTGCCTCAACAGAATGATGCAGGGTGAACAAGCGCATGCCCCTTCAAACCTGGTTTGCAGAACAGCCTCTGTTTGCAAAGAAGATTCGCCAATGACGTCGTAGCAGTTTACCTACCATCTTATGTAAGGCTAACTTAAAACATGACAATATATATATATATCTCACCTCCAAAACATGAAGCCCCATTGATTTTGCAATCATCGATACCTGAGTTAGTTTACCAACGCCTCTTCCACCTTCGAGGAGCACTGTCAAAGGAAGATGGAAATCGGCTGCCTTTTTAGATAAGGCAGCGGCGGTAAGATGATATAGGGTGCTGAAGGGAGACATGGTATCGCCAACAAGTTGATCTAATAGTCGATGATAAGTGACCGGAGTGAATTGTATGTCAAGACTTACTCTTGGCATCTACTAGAGGTGGAGCCCTGGCATGCTCAATTCCTTCCTGCATTATGCGAGTTACTGTAGGATTGACCCAACATCCAAGTTCTCCAACATTGCTATCAAGATATGCGTCCATCGAAGCGGGTGCATCCGTAGCTTGCACAACGTCATGTTCAACGTTTGTCACCACAAAATAAACAAATTCGTCGTCACTCTTCGGAGGTGTAATAAACCTGATATATTAATAAGCTAGGTTTGGCGCTGCGATGGAGGAATACGAACTCGCTCGCTGGGACGTGATGATGTCTACCATGCGACATGAGCTGAACATCATCCCACTCGACGATTCCAAATCTCTTGGCAGAATCTATCATGACCGCAATGATATCACCTTTCTTCACAATCCGGAGTTCTTTCTCGAAGTATTCTTGTAAGGCCCTATGGAATGCTGTCTCATTAGAACGCTTCGTCGAGGAGGGGGATGCTACCCGTGCAATGGTGACATTCCGCGCGATAGGAACAGACGGTTTTCGCCTGCCGTAAGGGCTTGGCCGCAGAACCACATATCCAGTGGCTTGTGGAGTGCCTGTCGGGTCATTGAAAATATTGCAGAAAAGCGTGCTCGGAATGAGACAGGTATTTCTAGCGTCGCATGAGCGTCACTCGAAAGAAATGACTGCGAACAGACTCACGAAGGGCAAGTCGAGGAGTCCAGGGCGTGCACGCGAACGAGTCTGGCGCTCACGCCTTGACTAGATCGAGCTGTTGCCTACATAATCATCAGTGACGAACAAGTCAAAACCCATTAAAACCAACCCAGTCGCCGCTCAGGAGCCCCAGCTTTCCTAAATCTCCAGTACTGGTATATAATGAGTGATCGTCTGACCGGCCACCTTTCAGAAGGGTTTTCGCAACGAACGCCATCTCTGATGACATGTCTATTCGATGACGGACGGCGTTTGTAGTTGAGGGACTCCCTGAGGACACGGCCCGAGGACTCGATGCTTCAACAATTGAGCCAGCCAGGAAACGTTCGTCAATGGTTATGTCGTCTGAAGAGCTGTGGACGACGTTGTTTGTGCCGGGCAGATTTTCGGAGATACTTGAAGCGGTTGCGGTCAAGAGCACGTTGGTGAAACTTTCCTTGAAAAATCCTTTCGACGGTTCAGCTGAGACGATGGTATACTTGATTGTATCCTTCATTGCTGAACCGAGGCCGAGCGTGTGTGCGGTCTTCACAGAGAGGACCAGAGTTTGACCTGATTGTAAAACGGCATTGTTTCCCAGGAATTCATGTTGCACTTCAGAAGGATGGGAGATTGCGGTGTCATATGCCTCTTTGGAACACGCCAAGAGTGTCACGGCGCTGAGGGGAGGAGGCACCGTATAGCGTATATACGTTGCATATTCGAAGTCCGGGAACGAAGACCCAAAGCCAGAGAATACGGACGGATATTGCTCAAGATAAGATCTTGGCAGCACCAGACCAGTAATCTTCCATGAATTAGCAATATGATCGATCATTCATGAAGCAAATCGACAACTTACGTTGTCATCTGCACGGCACCAGAAAGTAAAGCTTGGACATCGTTGCACATCATTTATTGTACATCCACCATGCTCCCCAGCAGAGAATAGTGTGATGGCGAACTTGTGACTGTCGTCCACATCGGCAGCAAGCAACTCCCATACGTGGGTTTCCAGTAGGGCAAATGCGTTCCCCTCGACATCATCATAGCTGGTGACCTTGACCTTCACAAATGATGAATGCTCGCGCCGAAACATAGTTGGTGCAGTGAGACCTAGAGAATTTGATGGCTCTTAGAACACTTTTTGTAGGGCTGTGAGACGGATTTGTAACATACCGTTTTAGGAACATTCGCTTTCTCACGAGCAATCCAGTGTGAGTCACGGGCTCCTAACCACCCTGCTTTGCGTCGTCGTTCAACACTGCACTTTGACCCTGAATTTTCCGAGAACCAAAGTGTGGAAAATCCTGGATGTTCTGTGAATTTTCCGTGTGGAAGATGAGGGGGTGGATGTTCTATGCATTTTCCGCTGAGAACATTTCATAAACCCAAAGCGGACCTTGAAATGCGAGCATGTGATGACCAGGTCGCGTCCTCATTCCGCGCGCGACATAGCATACACTGTGTAATATACCATCTCCCGCTGCTACTGTTATTATAGAGCTCTATTATCTGGATCTCACCATGCCTCGTGAGGATACTCCTGTCCGATCTCAGGCTTCCTACTCTTCCTACCATCGACAATGTGACTGTCCTGATTGCCTTAACAATCCTGATGCACCCCTGCAACTTCCGAGGATGATCAACATGCACAGAAAATGCCACGAAAAAACTGCCGAATGCTAGAGGAATGCTGCTGCGCAGAATGGTCCCAACCCTGATATTCTGCATGTTGTTCCAATACTTCAGCCTGCACTGCCTATACCTACTGAGAATGGACCTGCACATGTCGACGAGCCTCTGTAATGGATATTGATCCTCTAGATGACTCAGGTTATGCTTCTGGTGGAGCTTTTGATCCCGGGGAGGACTTTGGCAATAATCCTGCTTCTGACTTGAATAACTATTTGGTCTTAGACAATGGTTATGAAGGCAATGCTCCACTCACAGCAATTGACGATTTCTGAGAGTTGGAAATATCTCACTTGCCAACACCCTCTGAAATTGACTTCGAGGATGACTATGAGCACGAATGGCAACAAGATATGGCAGAAAATGCTGAAGAGCCAAATCAGCCAAACCTCAAGAAAGACCCTGCTTCATTTCTCGAGACCAGCTCTTTGGAGGCTGAGATGGTGACAATGATGATGACGAAGAGGTTCCAGCTGCTATTGGTGCAGTTCATGATCCAGTTGAACTCCCGCATGCCTTCTCTGAATACCCTCTTATTCAAAATGCTACATTAATGCCTTTAGTGCTGTGGCATTTCATGGTGCGACTCAAGAACTTGTCAAGCACATACTTGATGGCCACTATCATGCACTCTCTTCCCTTGGAATTCCTGATCTTGACCAAATGACCCGTACTTTATCAACAGTTGAATGCCATCTAGGTGTTAAACCTGATGACCACATTGTCTATCATTTTCTGTGTCCTATCTGTTGAATACACCACCATCCCTCTGAGCTTGCTGAACTTCTCAGTTCTGAGTGTCTGGTTGATGGCTATGCCAGTATATTGTACAATATGAAGACTATGATGAGTGAGTGGAAGAAAAGAATCTCAACAAAAATATTACCAACTATGCCTCTATTATCAGCAATACAGCAGATGCTACTGGAGCCCAGAAAGTGAGAAGAGTGGCAACACTGGTGCAAGGAAGGTGATGAATATTAAAATACACATCGCACGGAAGAAAGGTGAGTCAGTAACATTTGACCTCATTGAGCTCTGAGGCAAACAGATAGGGTACGTATAAATATAATTAGCTACTTATATACAAAAAGTCTGCCAAGCATGCAGAACTCCATTTCACTCCTCTTATCCTTACACATAGTGACACTCACCACTTTATCCATATTTCAACAATGAATCAGGACCTGCTGCATCATTATGAGCAACTGAGTTAGATGCATTTTCAGATGCTAGCATATAGTTGGATGAGGGTGGTAAGCAGTTCAGGCTGGCCTGGAATGGCATCAAACTGGTCATTAGGGTATAGAGAACATTCAGGAGTTAGATCAATGATTTGTGTTGTTACCCTGTGGCTTGCTATTCTCAATAAATATAGATTGGTGAGTTGCTCTGCTTCTCTCTCTATTGTATCCAATAGTTCAATGTAACATTTATCAGGTTTGGTGCTACTAAGAATTCTCATCACTTCACTGGTGCCATCTATCTCACAATATACAATAATTCTTGCAGCAAATGCTTTCTTCATGATGAGACCATTCTACTGTATATAATATCTGATTCTACTGAACCCTCACTAGAAGCACTCAACAGTGTTCTCAAACTATCTGTCTGAGAATTGCTTGTCTTATACAACAGTCATGAATTTCAAGTTTTTAGTCACCCTCTAAAGGAGCTTGTATATGGTTCATTATATATCAATGCTGCTGACCTTTCTGTGAGTTGCAAGACTGCTAGACTATGTGGAGTAACCTCTAAGTAGTTCATGTGTATATATTGCCATTAATTCTTTGATTCTCTCACTTCACATGCATACTACAACTCCAATAGTAAGTTGATCAGTGCTTTCTAGCTCTTTGACTATACTCATATTAATTTTATCAGCATACTGGCTGAGAGATGATCGCTGTTTTCTCAAATATGCATTTATTGCATGCTATAGTGAAGATGAAGACCATAAAGAGATCACAAAGAGATGAGGTGTCTGCTGGTCTATCCTTAATGCACTTCCTGAGTGGATATCTGTAAGAGATTCTCCAATTGACTTTATGCACTGCCATATTCCTTGGTACAATTCTCTTCAATTCAATGAGCTCTACTCATACTCCTTTAAATAGGCAAGACAAAATATATTGTCCAGGGTATCCTAGTGAAAGGTGGAATGTTTACTAATGTGCAGCAACTTGGAAAGCCTTTAGAATACTTTGAGAACTTCTTTGGGTCAGTTTGGTGGCCCTTGACAGCAGGTAGAGTTCCCACAAAGATGCATCCACTTAGTACTTGCTATATTCTTCTCACAGTTATAAAATAGATAGCAGATGGTGCTGTGAAGGCAGATCAGTGGTAAAATCTCATTGCTGTCTTGCCAGTTGCAGTATATGCTGCATGGCAACTTGGCAGAGAGATTTTAGATCTTGGCACATTCTAGTCCAAGTCAATAACAAAAGTTGGTATTGCACTGGCTCAACTAGAAGCTCTTGTATAAAGTCAAGCTTGTGTGCATGCTTGTACTGAAGAAGATACTACTCTGAATAATCTGGAGGAGATCTCATATGAAATAATGGATCACAACTATCTGTGTCACTATGAGAATATGCTTGAGTGATGTACTGCTATCCATATCTGGGCCTCATGCTCGATTTCAATTGAGAAAGCTCAATGTACATATAAATGCCATGATGACACCGTCAGACTTGGGCATGAATGAATTGCCACCTTACATCATATTTTCACCTTGTGACTTATCTTTTTAATAGCAGTTTTCTACATCTAGGTCCTACTTACAGCTGATGGGCATTTCCATGTGAATGCAATAATGGATTTCTTGGCAAGCTGAATTATAATGGATATACTGGAGGTGAACTTGAAGCAACTATGATGTGCAGTTGAATCAAGCTCCAACTGATCAATAATCTTATTCAGCTTTCATCCTACTTCACTCTAAATCTGTTTCTAACATTTTGTAGATATACTGTCTCGAAGCTCTCAGACCTGAGAAAACTGCAACTGATACAGCTGCTATCTCAGAACTTAAAGACCTCCTATAACATGATATGAAAGATACACATCATTGAGGAATATTGATGAATCTTCTTGGTGCAATAGCTGTACAGGATAATGAAGGTCAGTATCTCTATTACTACTGATCACTGCCTCTTTTATTCTCACATCAGAGATGATTGCTCTATCAAAGCAATCAAAGTGAATAGACCTGCAAAAACTGGGCATATACAATAAGGTTTTTGTAAGACTTATATTGGGTAATTTCTTATATGCATGGTAGCTAAGTCAAGCTCAGTGTATCAAATGACATTAGCAAAATTGTGAAATATCTGCAAGTGCCTATGAACTTAAGTTTCAGTGTCAGTCTCGTTATTCCCATATAAGGCATAATGAGTGGTTATAAAGCCAAATAGCCCAAGTTGCAGGTTTCACTCAATAACTGTCATAGTGTCTGCAGGATAAACCTATATACCTCTACCACTATGACTGCCAGTTTGTAGAACCATATAGAATCATATATACCTCCACATCCTGGCCTTAGTGTTGCAGTTACTATTGTTATCTCACATTCTGACCGTAATGGTACTTAGTAGAAGCAATGCTCACAATTGAGGACATGTATTATTTCTCCCTATTGAGTCAGTATCACTCAACTACTCAACTACTTTTTGCCTATACAGCTGATCACGGCACTCAATGTATGATATAGAGGAGCTGGCAAAGTTGCTTCAAGTTGCATTGGGGGCAAGCGAAAGACAGAAATTAGTATCAGACTTAAATTCAGAACTGATACTCCGATAGTGGCTATAGCTCACACCTTTCCTGGTTTTGAATCGAAGAAGAAAAGTGATAACTCAGAAAACCTTAAAACTTTGGCTGTACATATAATCTCTCAATGCTCAACTCTGTGAATATCCATCATCTCTGCAGGTGATCGACTTTGCCGATGTATATACTTGGATTACCTCGGTTGGCTACTTCGAGTGCCAGTGCAGGTTATTGCAGGAGCAATGCAAACATAGCAAGCATATTGGCCTGTTCTTGGTCACAGCTCATGTGGTCATCTACAGTGCAATTTAGGTCAGTGTATTGTTGTTGACTGTACTTGTACTTATATCAAACAATCTCTATATAGGCATGATCACATATAGTGCTATTCAGATGAGTTAGATTGCAATATGCCACATCATACATACTAAGCTATTTATAGGTGGAATATAGTGAAGCTCTTGGAGGATGACTTTAGGCTCAATGTGTTTGCAAATATACTGAATGATAGGCAAAGGAGGCATATCTGGAGGAGGTTTTGTAAGAACTCTGATGAAGTGACAGGTAAAAACAGTAGTAGTACATAGTTCATTCATTGTCAAAATATATGTTTTCTGCAAGCAATGTTATCTGCATGTAAATTACAATAATCTGATTTGCCCACTAGTAATAGTGAGATATATATTCATTTTGAATGAACATATATAGAACAGCGCTATGTATTACTATATTGCCATGGCCATAGTCGATAATGATGGAATAGTGTTCCAGAACAATAAATGGGTGTGTGAATTTTTATCTGATCAATGGGTGTGATATGACTCTGCGAATGTCCCTTTAGAACTTCATTCTGATAAACATCATTGAGGCTGTGATCTCTATTGGAGGT